GCTACTCCACAATTCGCGAATATGTCGATGACTGTGTCCGAGTCGTTTTTCATGTCTTTGATGAATGATGAGACGTTTTCTGGTTGTTAATTCGTTGTTATCTACGGGTTTCATAACCTGACTTTGCATATTTTTGTCGCGAGTTTGATTATAGATAATGAAGTTGTCGGTTGCTTTATCGTATTCTGCATGTGTTGATGTTCTCAATAGCTGATGACGTAAATAGCCAAAGTCACCAGAGTTATAGAGCATAGGCAAAATGAAATACTTGGATAAATATTTACTGAATAATTTGCTGAGTCGCCGATCGATATTTCTTGGCGGATAACTGTAAGTCACATACAAAGAATGAGAAACGTGAATGAACACTTGAAACTTACCCACTATAGAGAAACATGATTTCCATTTGTCGTATTTCTTCTTTGAATTGAGGCAAGGTTGTTGAATAACGCACTGCTCTCGTAATAACAGTCTCAATGGTGTTTCGAAAAACATGATCAGGATGATCTGATCCAAATGGTACAACATACGGCTCAGCTGCTTCTTTATGAAACACTGAAGTTTTAAAGCTCCGTTACTGTTCTGAATGAATACATCAAGAAATGGAACACTTCTACCGACAAGTAACGCTCATGGACGTCGAACGTCGATTCACTGGTCCCTAGACTGGCAGAATGATGATATTGATGTACTTGTATTTTGATAGCAAATGAATTTTGTACAGTGGCGAGAGTAAGAGAAAGTATTAATATTTGAAATATGTTTAATATTATTTAGGATCGATCTATTGAAAGAATAGACGTCAAACATTAAAAGATATTTTTGGATTGGAAAATTTTTATTTTTCACCTGATTCTACTGAATGCATTTGTCGCAGGATATCTTTATATAATGAACACTTTGTTGCATGTTCTTCTAAACAATTCTTTTTTTTTATTCAAAGTTAAGAAATGCTAACTGTATAACGATTTTGCTTATTCGTTTTCATATCATTTTTTATTTCATTAGTGGACGGAAAGAAGTTTAGGAAGTAAAACATGAGCAAAAGAAATAAAATTTAATTTTAAAGTTGATATATACTAGAGTCGTTGCAATTTTGAGCAGAGTTCTGTTTAATATTCTTCGAATCATGTGCTGGAAATGTATATGTGGGTTACCAATATCATAATTATGCAATACTTGATATGAGTATGAAATTATGGATTGACAGATTCGTTGGTTCCTTTTTTAAGTAAATAATTAGCATTCAATTGAACTTGAATGTCAATAATTTAAAAAATAAGATTTGGCTTAATTGACTTTCTAAGAATATAGTGTTTTCTTAGATTATGTTGTGAGAAATCAATAGAAGAAAATAGGATGTATCAGTTTGCACTATTGAAAAAAGAAATTAGTATTGAATTTATTTCCAATGGAACATTATTCTATTGGGTGTACGTGATTAATATTTTATGTTTAAAAAGGTGAACGACTTGGTATTTTATAGTGTGGGGAATATTAATCATGATTGTTTTTTTTTATAAAATAGTTTAAATCATAGTGTAACATTGAATTCGTTGAGTTTGTATTTAACACAACGTTATGTTTTAAATTATGCATTCGGAAAGTAATTGCATCAACTTGAATGTTTTACTTCATTGTAGAGGCATTCTCAAATATGATTGATAATGGCTTACGTAGAATAAATAAAAAGACAATTGATAGAAATTGACACAGAGATGCGCAAGTCAAGTCAAGTCAAATTTGAGTGGGCTTGACTTCACTCGAATGTTATCTAAAATCAACTATCACTTGACGTCACTTGACTTGGCGTGAAAATTTTCAGAAATTACTTGACTCGAATTGGAAATTATAGAGAAATGACTTGACTTGAAAACTTTCAGATCTAGCTTGATTTGAATTTTTTTCAGGAATGGCTTGACTTGACTTGTGACTTGAATAATCGCGACTCTGACTTGTGACTTGAATAATCGCGACTCTGACTTGACTTGACTTGAAGTGAAAATTTTCTGAAATCAACTATGACTTGACTTGGCTCGACTTGAGTCAAAGAATCGCTGACTTCTCGATGTTTGAACTGACATATGTGTGTGCTTCATAGAATATATGTTTATGAAGAATGGTCAAAATTAATTACAGTGGTTGCTTTTATGTACATTAACGAGACGAACGGATATTGTACATATAGTGTTGTTAGAAACATAATGCAAGTTCTGTTGCAGATGTGAATGAAAGAATCATAAATAGATCATTTACAAAAAAGATTCAAATATATTATTAAAGAAACAAAATGATCATATTTAAATTAACAACGACTCATGAATTGGATTTTATAAAGTCAATCTCTCATTTGAACAAAGTTTTATGTACCATGAATATTACAAGTTATTATTATTTGTATTTATGCTTGATACCATTCAATTTTAATACAGTCTAAAACTGCTGACGAATATAAGTGTCAACGAATTATAAGTGTCGACGAATTTTTGTTGTAGTTGAAAATAATCACCCAGGTCGAACAGTCCGGCCTGGAAACGGCCGGTTCCGGGTAGTTCCGTTGATTTTGTGGAAGCAGTATTCCGGTTGGAAATTTCTCCGGTGGTTTCCGATCAATTCCTGCCGGAAAGCACCGGAACTTGGCAGGATTTCGCCGGAAAAGTCCGGCCGTATTTTTGACCGGAATACTGCTTCCATGTTCCAGCGATTTCCCATGTTTTCCTGCAGGATATGGCGACTTTCCCGCATATTCCCTGGAGTACCCTACGGGATCCGGGGACCGGAATGTTCAACCTGGGAAATATATACAAATAGAAAAATATCAAATGAGAAAATGTCGACATAGGTGACGCTTTTATTTCATATCGATTGATATATTTATTTTTGACATTTTTTCTTTCGATATTTTTGGTTCGACATTATTCAAGATAACTAATAATTCATCATTATATGAGTATTTTTTTCTCATTTTAATCAAACAAAAAATATTGAGTTTTTAATAGACAGCAGTGTTCATTAAATAACATTCCAAATATTGAACAACTTATTAAATTTGTACTAACACTAATTCATAAGAATATAGATGCACCTCGATCTTACAGCATCGTATGATTATTAATTTTCATATTATACTCATACTGAACTACGACTCTAATAAAGTTTGATTCCAATTTTTATTTCATCAATAATTTTAGGTCATTCAGTAGCCCTTCTGCAAAATTCTTTTTGTAATGAATTATCATCATAGAAATTAAATCCATCACACACCATTAAAACGTCACTTATTGATTAATGATAGTATACAATTATAAAAAGCACTTCATTTTTCTTTACAAGGATAATAAATTATAAACTGTACAAAGTAGTCCGTAGCACTAGCATAAAAATATACTACTGATATAACCATGAGATTTTGTCAGCATCATGATTCATGTTCTATCTCATCTAAAAACAGTGTACAATCATTATTATTCATCTTACATGTTCTCAAATAATTATTACTTTACACACTGTACCCAACCCAATAAAATATTAAATAGAATACATTAGTTTTGCTTACATTATGCAAAGTTACTTCTAACAACCTCAATATCTTCCTAGTATCTACAAGCTGCATGTACAAGACAGAGCTCATCATGTTGACAGAATTGAAGAAGGGTGTTTCTTATCATCTCTCCCTGCCTAGTATGAGTGGCACAGATTAATAGTTGATAAAAAAAACATTCTTATCTTTGAGTTTCACACTGAGGCACACACCACTTCTATTATTTTTCGAAAGAGTATCATCTGAAAGTAAGAAGTTTGTTACTACCATTGATATTACAATGATATGAGAAACATTTATAGAGGATGTACATGATAAAGTTTTGTGCAATTCTTCTTTTTATTGTGAAACATAGTCTTACAGCACCATACATATTATCAAACGGTTGTGGATACGATGTAAGAAAGCAATCATTTATATCAAGTATTTGAAAGAGATATATAATCATATATTTTAGTCATGTAACTTGGGTAAATCTGATAAACTTAATGTTCATATTGTCGCTCATACACACGACGATGTTGGTTGGTTAAAAACAGTCGATCAATATTATTATGGATGTGAGTTATGGTTTAATTTGCAAGATAATCACGAATTATTTAATGAGTTGACCTTTTAGCGCGTGGAGAAATTACTCGAAAAGGTGTTCAATATATTCTCGATTCAGTTGTGCAGGCATTAGTGGATAATTCCGATCGTCGATTTATCTATGTTGAAATGGCTTTCTTTCGGCGTTGGTGGAATCAACAATCAGACGATGTGCGTGAAAAAGTCAAGCAATTAGTCAATGAAGGTTCGTATCAATCGAATCTATCTATCATTTAATACATATATTCAAATATATATATACAGGTCGTTTGGAGTTTATTTCGGGCGGTTGGTCAATGATTGATGAAGCAACAACACATTACAATTCGATTATTGATCAACATAGTTTAGGAGCAGAATTCTTGCATGATACATTTGGTGCATGTGCACGACCAAAAATTGGCTGGCAAATCGACCCATTTGGTCATTCACGAGAAGTTGCTTCACTCTTTGCACAGGTTACATTTGTTCGAAGACCTGATGTTTGATGCAGATATTATTTTTCTATAGATGGGCTTTGATGGTTATTTTTTTGGACGTGCAGATTATCATGATCTGATAGATCGTTCTGTGAAAAGGACCAGAGAAATGGTATGGCAAACAAATCCAAATTTAGGTTAGTATTTTTTCACCTATTTTGATCAAATTTTATTTTTTCTGAAAAAAGAATGCCAATCTAAAATGAGCTTTCGTTTTAAATCTTCAAAATTTCATATTAAGATATTCATAGATCGTCAAAGTTGGCTTTTTACTGGTATTCTACCGCTTTATTACCTTAGTCCACCATCATTTTGTTTTGATATAACCTGTGCTGATCAACCGATAATGGCACGTCATTACTTATTAACTGTTTATTCTCTTGATAAATTCAATGATTTTAGGATGATAAAAGTTTACATGACTACAATGTACCTGAACGTGTTGAAACATTCATCGGAGCGGCATTAGCTCAAGTTTGCTTAAAAAGAAGCTTTGCCGGCAAATTCTTTTGTGATTGATTTTAGGCTGAAGTCTACGCCACCAACCATATCATCATGACAATGGGTGGTGATTTTTTTGATCAGAATGCTCACGAAGACTTCAAAAATTTAGACAAACTAATTCATTATGTTAATCTTCAGGTATGTCATTGTTATATTTTTGATTAACATTATCTGAAATTATAATTCTCAGCAAGAGAATGGTAGTGACATTAATGTCTTTTATTCAACACCATCATGCTATTTATATGCCTTGAATAAAGCAGATAAAAGATGGTCAACAAAAACTGATGATTTCTTTCCCTATGCCAGTACTCCGTCTGTATACTGGACAGGTTATTATACTTCAAGGCCAGCATTAAAACGTTATGAACGTTATGCCAATAATATTCTTCAAGTAACTCGTCAACTAAATGGATTTTCACAATCAAATCTACGGAACCTCACTTTCGATTTGAGTAAGAAAAACAGAGATATTTTTAATTCATCAATCGTTAATTGTATTAATCAGGTGAAGCAATGGGACTTGTTCAACATCACGATGCAGTTAGTGGAACATCAAAGCAACATGTAGCTAATGATTATGCTCAACGACTCTCCAATGGTATCGATCGAGCAATAGTATGCCATATGACATGAATTTTTAATAAACGAAATAAGTATTGTGTAGGAAGTGATCAATGATGCCTATGGAAAATTATTGCCTAAAGAAAATCGAACGACACCAATACCTAACCAATTTCTCTGTCATTATTCGAATATTAGTGCATGTCTTCCAATTGAAGAACAAAAACTAGTACGTGTAATTTTGATACAAAACTAATATAAATGATTAATGTTTTGAAATGATTCCTTTTTTCCTGAGGTAAAATATGATAGATTATCTAAATTCTTTTTGTAGTTCACATTGACACTTTGGAATCCAACTATTCATCCAGTAACAATTTATTATCGTGTACCAGTGACTAGACAATATTTAATTTATGATCCAATAGGAAATCTTATTTCAGCAGAGGTACATGATCAATGATGCACGGCGAAAAAGAGAAATCGTTATTTTCCTTTCTTTCGTAGTATCTTATGATTCCAGACGCAACGAAAAACATTCCTGGTCGAATGAGTTCTGCTCAAAATCAATATCTATTCTCAGCATCATTGCCAGCACTTGGTTACAGTACCTACTATTTTGAAGAAAAAGGTAAATACCAGAGTTTGAGTCATACGATCACTGCTGCTTTGTTTTGAAATTATCGATAAATTTCGTTTGTTGATAATAGTTGATACGAAGAAGATCGAACACAAGAAAGTGATAACAACGACAAATGAAGCATGTATTCTACAGAACGAAGTAGGACATCATCTTTGAATGCTTATACGGATAGGTTATTTTGTCATTGCTAGTTTTTACGTGTGGAATTTAATAATCAAGGCTATTTGAAGCATATTATCAATTTAGAAAAGAATTCGAAAGTATCCTTTACTGAACAGGGTTTCTACTGGTATGCTAGTAAGTTATTTTGCTCATGACGTTACTCTAGATTTGTTCTAGACGGTAGAAATTTTCATATAATTTGTTTTAGGCTATTCTCATGTTAATACTACTCCATTTTCACCAGCATCAGGTGCTTACATATTTCGACCGTTATTTCCAGAGGCATTACCAGTGAGTGTTGCGCGTCGCATGTGAGTAATCCTGTTTAATAAATTGTTTTCTTGAAGATTATTTTGTTTTGAAAAATAATAATAATAGAAACTGTACGAAAACAGATACCGTACAAAGCGCCTTGATTATTTTCAACGAATGGACTAGTCAGGAATTCAATCTCTATCGTAATGCATCAGCAATTGAAATTGAATGGATAGTTGGACCGATTCCAATAGATGATAATATTGGTAAAGAGATTATAATTCGTTACAATACTGATATTAACAGTCTCAAAAAATATTATACTGATAGTAATGGACGTCAAGTTCTTGAACGTATTCGTGATTATCGACCAACGTGGCATTATATACCTGATGATCCCATTAGTAGCAATTATTATCCAATTAATAGTCGTATTTGGATTGGAGATCAAGACCGACAATTAACTATTCTTACCGGTAAATGAAAGTTTCGAATGAAAATCGTTTTTCATTTAATATTCTGCAGATCGATCCCAAGGTGGAGGAAGTATCTATGATGGATCAATTGAAATCATGGTTCATCGCCGAATACTACACGATGATAAAATGGGTGTTAAAGAAGCTTTAAATGAAACTGCTTATGATAAAGGTCTTGTTGTTTCTGGCAAGCATATTCTTCTTTTTGATCGACCGTCAGATAGTGCTCGATTACATCGAACCGGTGCGCAACAATTGTTTATGCATCCTCTGGCAACTTATTCCTTACCAAATACATCGTCTTATACGAATTATTCGGATATGTTTCGTCAAAGTTGGTCAGCTCTATCGGATGCAATGCCATTAAATGTACACTTACTAACATTCGATCAATTAGCTTTCAAACAATATCTGGTGCGTGTCGAACATTATTTTGAATTGAATGAAGATGCATTATATTCAAAACCGGTAACAATCGATCTTCAAATATTGTTCAAAAGTATCGGTACGATAAATGAGATTAATGAATTAATATTAACTGCTAATTTACCATTGTCCGAATTGCATCGACTCGACTGGATGATAAAAGACGAAAAATCGTCACATATTGGTTTGTTTCGTAAGTTGCATTGTCATCGAAACATGTTTTGAATGATATTATATCTATATATTATTTATTTTTAAGAGCAATACTCTTCGAATCTGACAATAATCATACTCAATCCAATGCAAATTCGAACATTTCAAATAATCATTGATTAGATATTAGCTATTAAATTACTTTCCTTTTTGTCATCGATTGGCTATATATTGACATTTCTAATTGACATATTTCAATATATATTAGAATTAGAGGTCGACCAACTTAGCCTTATGAACTGAGTTCAAATGAACTAAACAACTGATCGATCTGATATAGAATCAGTTTTTAACTTCTCTCAACTTATAACAGACTAATATATCAGACCTGTTTCTCCCAGCCTAACATTCTTCACGATCTATCTAAGGGAAGTAACGGGTGTTTCACAATAAATGGCCTCTCAGTATTTTTTTTCATCAATTTCTCTGATACTTCAGTGCAGAGAAAACTTTGTTTAGAAAAATATTCCTCGTGAAATTCTCTATAAAACCTTGTAGGAAGCGATGTTTGAACAGTTAGCTATGAAGCTGTATCTGGTCAACATTACAATGCTCCAAAGTCACTCCCATTCCAAGCAATAATTTTTCAGATTAACGATTTCCCGCCACTTCTTTGACCTCGTGTAAAGAGAATCAATTGACCGTTTTGTAGCCCGTGGAAATTCTATTGCTTCCACAACCCATGTAGCCGATTTTACGAAATAATGGACATCGCAATGCATTATTTTCTATAGAGATGCAATGGATGCAATTACATGATAATGCAACCTATTTAATGCATTATAATGCATTAGGATGAACAATGCGTTGCAATGCGTTATGTACAAATAATTCATTATAATGCATTAAATAGGTTGCATTATCATGTAATTACATGCATTGTTATATCTAATGCATTATAATGCATTGAAAACTTCATATTCGGCACTTGCTGCGCAAGATCTATATAATCCTATTCAATCGATATCCTAATCACGATAATGGTATCTCTGTGGTTCTGCACATCTATTCCCTTAACTTAACCCCTTAACCTTAATCTATCTCTCTAACTTAACTTTACCCTTTAACATTCATCAACCCTCGCATACATATATATACAAGGTGAGGCAAAAGTTCTGATACATGGTCTAAATAGTTTTATTTCACAAGTATGCAACAAAAATAGACGAAACTTTGTATAATACATGTCTCACGTACATAGAATATAGTAACGAAAAGATCACTCAAAACGGCGTTCCTTGTGTTTCACAACTAATGCTAATCGTCTTCGCCAGGTGTCGATGGCGGCACGCACTATGTCCATCTGCAACCGATTCCATTCTCGAATCAACATGCGTTTTAACGATTCCAAACTGCGATGGGGTTTTGCGTTGACGATCGCTTCTAATGTTCCCCGTATTGAAAAATCCAACGGGTTAAGATCAGGCGACGATGGTGGCCATTCTTTGGAACTGATAAAATCTGGACAATTTTCCACTAACCATTGCTGTGTTGACTTTGTTTTATGAGCAGGGGCTGAATCCTGCTGGAATATCCATTGATTATCTGAACACAACGTACTGATGTTGGGTATTAATGTGGATGTCAAGACTTCATTTTGATAATGTTTCGCATTGATTTTAACGCCTTGTTCAACGAATTTCAATAAGATTTTACCGTTGTAGGATACAGCACCCCATACCATGGTGGATCTCGAGTTCTAAAACCGCTGAACGGTTCTTATATTTTCAGGAATATCTTCGATTGATAACGAGTAGATTCGATCATTTTGACGATTATATTTCTGTTTGACGATGAATAATTTCTCATCCGAGAATACGATTTTTCGAATATCATCGGAATCGTGCCGGACCAACAATGCTTTACATCTTTTAAGCCTAGCCACCGTTTGCTTATCCGATTGTACATGAAATTTACGTTTTTTGTAAGGTTTAAGACCGAGATCAATTTGCAAGATTCGTCGCATTGATCGATTATCGATATGTTCGTCAATTGCTAAATTTCTTGCGGACCTTACAGAATTTCGCCGGATTTTTTCTCTTATTCTTTTGATGCGTTCTTTGGACCGGTACGTGCGAGATCGATCAGATCGAGGACGATCTTGTATTGATCCAGTATCACGGAATAGACTTATGGTACGATAACACAATTACCTGTTATTCCAAGTTGTTTCACATGCCGAAAATTTTTTCCACCGGTTAATCCTCGCTGAAAATACTTTTGCACAATCAGCCAATCTGAATTCATGATCTCGAAAAATCCAAAGCAAGTGAACTGTGAACCAGCACTTTAAAGTTAGGCAGTAGACATGTTGATATGTCGTATACATTAAACCAATTGTGATATATAACGATGGAACATAGAGGTCAGGCTTATACAACTTTGTATCAGAACGTTTGCCTCACCCTATATATATATAACGTATCATTTTGATCATATCGATAAGAATCTAAAACAAAAGACAATGAATAAATAATGTTTTTATTATTGAATTCAAACTTACCATTTTAATCATGTCACATTGTAGTCGAAACCGAGAACAGTTCAAGAACGTATAGATGATATACAGCTATTTCAATAGTATCAAAATGCTTTCAACTTTGGAAAAGAAATTAATTCATAGAGGGAATAATGCTTGATCAAATCGGTTATAGTTGATACTGTGAGCAGTTTTAGTTTACTATATACACCCGAAACTGAGCAATGACGAAGAGGGAAAACTTCTTTTGAGAGGTTTGAGCACTGTGTTCTCTTTCATTCTACAGAATATTCTAAAAATATTCAAAGATCTAGTAGCCGTTTTTTGCATCAAATAGAAGCTCGATAATCGTATTTCGGTTTGTTAGTAGACATTGTCGCGATTGAGTAAACTCGGAAGCTCTTAGGCTTGCCCGGGGAAATATTTTGGAAACTGAAAGGGTAATCTGATATGCCTAATTAGATTTTGACTCGACTATTCAATAGTGTAGGTTTACTTGAGTACCCTAGTGATTTCTGAAAATACGACTAGGTTTCTATTATCGGGAAAAAGGGATTCAAAATATACTCTGAGCGCTGTAACTCAGGTTACATTTTTTATTAGTTCTTTAACTTGCACGACTCTTATTATTGAAAAGCGCTTGATACAGAGAAAGCTGGATTAAATCAAACATCTACCAGTCAAATCCCTTTTTCAATATCTCTTTTACGAAAATGGTGAATTCTCTAGCTTAAAAATATTACTCTAAATAATGCATTGAAATGCATTGAATAACAATGCATTATTCTCAATTTCTACATTATATCTGATAATGTATTGCAATGCATTGTAACTTTACTATTTCTCAAACCATTTTCACATTATTCTAAATAATGCATTGTAATGCATTGAAAATTTAGGCATTATCCTTCATTTTTACCATTATTTGGAATAATGCATTGAAATGCATTGAAAAGTCAAAAAATAATTAATTATAATGCATCAGGTCATGTGTTTTTTCAAATAATGGGAAATAATGGGTCATTTTTCCATTATTTATCCATTATTGGCTACATGGGTTATTTAGGGATCATTCTTGATCACTTTTCTCAACTTTGTTTCCCGAAACTCAACGGCGACGATTTTTGTTTGCCTTGGGTACTCCACAGGTATCATCGAAAACAAAATTTGTTTTATCACGAGCCAAATTTTGATGTAATTGTAGATTTATTGGTACTGATTACGAATATCGTAATTAGAAGTCTCAAAACTACTTTGCTTCCGAAGTAGCCGAGAACACTCGTTTGATCCTATTTTACGTTATTTGGGCCCTCATCGAATAATACACGATGAAATTGGGTGCAAAATAATTTCCTCTGACTCATAATGTTGAGTTCTTTTCGAATTTGAACTTTTTACATCGAAAAAACCTTACGCACGGAAAAATTACAGGGATTCCGGGGCAAAACTTGAACCCTGCTCATCATATTTAACTATCTAGATAATGAAGAAAGTCTTGCCGCAACGTCAAATTTGGATCATAAGTGTAGTATTTCAAGCTCTATCGATTGGAGATCTTAAAAATATCAGAAAAGTTGTGCAACAGGATGAAAAGTTAAGAATACTAACAATTTCTATAAAATTGCTGTAGGGGACTACATCTACGATTATATAAGAGATCTTGAAATCAACTGATATTTAGCCCACCTTGCAGAGCTTAATTAATTGTACGTATAATACAAAAAATCATTGATCTCCGCTCTTTTTTTCGGTTTAAAACTTGATGAGCAATTTTACTTTCTTGCAACTATTCATACATCTTGTGAAGCGAATTTGTGAGTCTAAGGAAAGAGCGGAGAGTCATATTTTTTTACTGTGTGCACAGTTCATTAAGCTGTAAAAGATGGACTATATATTTGTTGATTTCCCGATCTTACATTTTTTAGTAGCAGTGGTTCCCTACAGCAATTTGATAGAAATTAATCGTGTTCTTAACTTTTCACCCTGTTACACAATTTTTCTATTATTTTTGAGATCTTCAGTCCATAACGCTTGAAAGACTGCACTTACGATCAAAATTTGACTTTGTGGCAGACTTTCTTCATTATCTAGGTAGCCAAATATAGCGAGAAGGGGTCAAATTTTACCCCGGAATCTCTACTTTTTTTCTATAAGTTACATTTTTTCGATGTAAAAACTTAAGATTCGCAGAGAACTCAAAACTATCAGTTAGAGCAAATCATTTTGCACTAAAGTTTATGGTTTCGTTATTCTATGAGGGGCCAAACAATGAAAAATAGGGTCAAGCGAGTGGTTCAGCCTTTATAAGAAATAAAGAAAATTTCGGACCTCTTATTTTGATATTCGTAATCAATACCATTAAATCTACAATTACATCTGGTTTGGGCTCGTGATAAAACAAATTTTGTTTTCGATGATACGTGTGGGATACTCCAGCAAAAAAATCTTCAATGTCGATTTTTGGGAAATGAAGTTGAGAAAAGTGATCAAGAATGATCCCTAAATAATAAATGATAGAAATAATTCAAATCTGTGAGGGGAAGCGCAAAACGGCATAATCCACCCTCCTCCTTTTATCAAAAATAATGTGTTTCTCAAAAAACGTTTTTACGAAAAACAAATTGCTCAAAAAATTCTTAAAAGCCGATGCCAGATTCGAGTTCCCCGATCTTGACAATCTTCGGTCAAACTTTACCGAGATCAATTCTTTCTCAAAAAAAAATTTTGATCAAAAAAGCATCCGGTAAAAAAGATCTAAAAATTGATGCCAGATTCAAGTTTTCCAACCTCGAAAACCTACAGTCAAACGGATTCCAGCAGCTATTCTGAGCATTTCGTGAAGCTGTTGCATCTACTTTTCTATTGGATGGAAGTACAATGGGAGTATGAGCGAAGTACGAGGAAGTATGAGGGAAGTACGAGGGAGTACGAGGGAAGTACGAGGGAGTACGAGGGAAGTACACGAGAAGTACAGGAGAGTACAAAGGGAGTACGGAAGTACGGAAGTCGCGCTTTTCCCCCCTTGATCTTAACGCAGCACATATATGGATGTGTTGAATGATTATATCAACTCAATAAATAGGCTCACATGTAAAACAAAAAGTAATTTTTTTTGTGTGGGATATAGGGAGGTCTATAATTTTGCCACCACCTGTATAATATAATCAAAGCCATCTGATGAGACCCTTAAGCAAGGTTGAAACGCGTAACGGCTAGCTCAAAAAACCACCCACACCCACACCATCATGCCGACGGACATAGACCACACTCTCTATGTTCGTCACACCACCCACACTCTCTATGTTCATCACACCACCCACACTCTCTATGTTCGCCACACCACCCACACCATTCTTGTTGTTCGGTCGATTGTAGAAGAGTTTTTGAATTGATTTAAAAGATAAAAGTTCAAAACTCTGCTTTTCTTTCACTTCAATTCGATGTTTTGATCGTGTTACAGGCACACGAAGACAGCTCTCTTTATGATGAAAAATCAGCCTCAATATAACATCAGTCTTCGTATGCACTTGAAAGTGTCATGATTGATCTTTTTTATTCAGACGTATTGATCGCACTCTCTCTCTCAGGCCTCTTTCATTGTTTCTTATTTTTTTGAATCGACTGTTTTCGTTTTCTTCGTTCGAATTATTTCGTTTGCAAAAATAAACATCGACTTGCCTCTCGATGTCCTAACAGAATGCTTTCAAGTGTGTGTTCATCTTTCGAATGGCAAGTAAAGGTGAATTAGAGATGTGAAGTGTTTTTCGCATTACTCTGAGAGCGCACATTTAAATGCATTAGCATGCATACCAGTTTTACTTGATTTCAATTAACACTATTTAGTTGCACGACAGTCAACACATTCGTGTACAGTGTATTATAGTCACAAGTGAAGAATAGAACTCAAAGATGCCGACCTGCTCGGACCAAGTCGTATATAGGCCTGGGTTCTATACGTCATCCCAGAATATGGTAAGCATGTTCTAAATCGATTATTGGATATATTGATCATGCTTATTCTCATAATATTTAGAGTCCTGCAACATTTAAACCACCCGTAAGAAATATTACAACTGATCTTTCAAATGTGCTAAATGCCAATGGCACGACAAGTCATGTCGAAACTCAGAAGTAAATATTACTTTAATCATATGAAAATGTCTGCATAAAATGTGATATATTCATTCGTGAAGGAATACATGGCGTTCAAAACGTAGATGGCTAATCATGGCTCTGGCAATTGTCGGAGTTTTTGCAGCGATTGTAGGTGGCTACGTGGCATATGCTCTACTTGCTACAAGTAGTACAAGTATGTTAGAGAGAAATTATACTGATGAAGAAGTCCATTGAAAATCTTCTATCGCTGATGGATACATATTATTAGCATATATGCTAGACACTTTGAGACTAGACTAACTACAAATAGATTAGCGTTTCTGAATTAAGAAACTGACTTTAACTCGCTCGATCGACTTTCGCAAGACTCCGAATCAAATATGTAGATTTTCAATTTTATTCAAAAACAAATCCAATGATCTGTAGACGATTCAAACATGAATAACTCTTCCATTTTCCCTTGACTTAAAAGTCAAGGATTTGGAAAGTGAAATTAAAACCAAAATTGTCTCTCTGTCTGTCTGTAAAACGTTTTTTTAAATCGCCATCTACGTGAATCCGCACGAATATTTTATTTCTTCTTTTCTTTCGATTTTTAAAAACTATTTTGAATTTTTTGGAACAGAGATTTATAAAATAATTTGAATTAGAAGTATTTCAGATTAGATTTACTAGACAATTTTTGAATTGAAATTCAATCGTTTTTCATCTCAGATAATCTTCTAAAACAGTCTCTATAAAGGCAGAGTTTTCTACCTTGAAATATGACTTATTGAGCAATGTGGTGGACAATGAAAGGCAATTAAAAACACAAGGGGGTAAGCGATGTCACCTGGCACCCTAACACCTCAGCAACTGCTCAGCACTTACCCCCTTGCTGGCAAAAGATGGGTGTGGGTGTGCTTACCTTTAACGTGCCTAGCCTTTCCCAAAACCCTCACACCCACACCCACACTTACGTCCATGTTGGTATTTGCCGCAGTCTTTGTCATATTCGTCCTCCCGTTCGGGGATGTTGCCAACGGTACCCTTTGAAATCTTGTATTTCTAGGCAAGTTTTCGTTACGAGAGGCAGTGTGCGTTTGCGTGATTTTTGGTAACCGAGATCTTTTCAGTTAGTGCTGACGATCGGCGAAACGACCCCATGCTGTATTCTTGCACTCTCACTCAGCTGATGATAACAATGAACAGTGGAGAGAACACGTTTCTCTTTCTGATTGGTATAGTATCACGTGCGAGGATGTCTAAACTTTTCCCGCGTCCTACGAATCAAGTCTGTAAGCACGCAGTGTTTTTAGTTTTCGTCTTCCAGAAAAATATCGATAAATATCCTTTTTAGAGAGAGATCTATCACTGTCTGGGCCATAAAAAAAAGTACCCAATGCCCAAAGTCGAGAGGTGCCGATTTTATAGAGGCTCATTTCCAGCAAAAAATCTGTCGAACGGTTGGCAAGTGCTTAGTTTACAGAGGTCCTCACTTAGCAATAACAAGCTTTTACTGTATGTGGGAAAAAGTTGACTTTTCAAGAAAACTGTTCCAAAATGATAATATAAGGGAATGGGTGCATTACTGATGTTCACCTGCCTCGAAATCGTAGAAGAAGTGCGGTGTGTTTTCGGCTTCCTTGGATGCCAAGATGCTCCTTTACACGAAACATTGATTTAGTCTACCGATTGGCATGGCTGAGCTTGTGAAAACGTAACGAATTTGAAACTCCATCCTCACAAGGTAGGCATGCAACATAGAAATATTAGATCTTCGTACGTAACTCAATGGATTCAATTGCTTGTATGAAAATAGGCGATTATGAGAAAAACAAAGATTTCTCAAAGATACAGAAGTTTGTTATTCTCAATCTAAAGCAATGAGGAACAAACTGATACCTTGATTTCTCACGACTTCCATGATTTCTTGTGATTTCTAGTACCTCTAGAAATTCCTTCTTTTTTGCTTTTATAATTTCGAATTGATTTTCTTGCTCATTGATATCAGTAGAATTACAAATATAGATTATAGATACGCAACTTGTATCAACCGAAGTTTTTATAATCCAGAAAATGTTTTTACAGTACGGTGGATAGACATCAAGATTTTTTCCTTAAACAAGAATAGCTGAAAAACAAAGTGGTTATTGTTCTTGAACGCATGATAATCGATCAACAGACAATGAGCGTTTAGCTTTCGCCAGGAGCCAGTAAGCAGTTTGTTTGTGAAGAAACTTATTTTGTTGTTAATGGTAACTCGAAAGCATGTGTGAGAGAGTTTTTCTCTTATATAATCCGCCAAGCGTGCTCCATGATTTGCAGATGTTGTAACATTGTTTATAGCGTCGAAACCATCATCAAATTCTAAATCATCATCATTACCATAATTAATTGCAAAACAGTTTATCATCTTATTGTCTGTTTCATTATCTAATTCAACGTCGGAATCGTCTTTTGTATTCTCATCGATTTCTCTTCCCCCATGATTGCTGTAACTGATGAGAGATTGTATTAGTAACAATGGGCCTGTTTGTACTGTCAAGCGAGATGGACTACCGGTTGAGGTGCAAATGATCGCATTCACTGAGAAACTAACGCACTTAAAATATGAGTTACTGATGGCTTACCTGGATAAAGATATTGGATTTCTCAGTGAATTTTTCTGCAGGACCCGCTTTCCCAACAAAATCATATTTCCGAATTGGAACCTGAAAATTTGTAAGCATTGAGGTCTCAATGAGACTAGCTTACAGAAAAAAATTCAGAAGTTTTGGACAAACTCTCTCCGAGACATAAATCTCTCAAAACATACAACTTCTATAGAAAATCGCCAATATTTTGAGAGATTTATGTCTCGGAGAGAGTTTGTCCAAAACTTCTGAATTGTTTTTCTGTAAGCTAGTCTCATTGAGAACTCAATGCTTACAAAGTTTCAGGTCCGAATTCGAAAATATGATTTGTTGGGAAAGCGGGTCCTGCAAAAAAAAACTCACTGAGAAATCCAATATCTCTATACAGCTAAGCCATCAGCAGCTCATATTTTAAATGGGTTATTTTCTCAGTGAATGTGACCATTTGCATCCCACCCAGTCGTCTATCTCGCTTGACTATACAAGCAGGTCCATTGTACGATGCTTTTTTCTCAAAATCAATTTGACTAGGTAATTACTCTTAATTAAATAAGATCGAACACTGCTGCACTCAGCGTAGAATTGTTTATGATGCTCACCTGTAAATAAATACTAATATCAATAGAGTTTGGAATACTTTCAAGTAGCCTCAAAACTTTGTCACTCGAAATCTTCTCGCTTGATCCGTAATTCTGTCTATCTTTTTGGGTTAACATCAGATCAAACAAGTCCGTGGTCAAGTTTACAAAAATTACCAATTATATAATATAGTGGTTGAATTTTGATGAGTTGATTACCGAAAATGAGTGTTGTTGTTTTCGAAAGAAGTCTGTTACGTAGTTTACTACAAATATGCATGGGGTTCCTGCATACAAATGAATAATTGTTTGCTTTGCACTAGGAGCCAATTCCACGTATTTGGAATATTAATTTCATAGTAGTCTGGACGGTTATTATAAACGAAATCGCCAAAAACTCCGAGAGATCGTCTCATCGCATTCAAATAGCGACTATTGCTGTCCTTTGAGTAACCTATAATACGAACACCTTTAGCTTTACATTGACGATAGATATAACCCCATCGAGAAATAACATATGGCGCTTTGAATTTATTATTTGTTCCATACTTTGCAAGAAGATAAGGTGATATATTTTCAAGTGAATATGAAAGTGGTTGAATAAGATGAGCAACTTGTGATTTTGCCATAGGTTCGTTTGAATACCAATTTTCTAAACAAGTAAACGAGTCAGTTGAATATGACTTGATGCTAGGCAATCCGTGTTGACCAAGTGGAAGAGAGATATCTATGAAAGTGTTCGTTTGTGTATCGTATGTTACTTTCGAAACAGTCACTGTAGAATCTTCAGCACAAAATGCTAATATTGTTTTTTTTCGAATTGAAATAATCACCAACGTGATTAAAATCAAAGTGTCCTTCCGTGAAGTGATTTTTTGATGAAGCGATGACCGACTGAATAGATTGTACGCTAGGTAGAAATGCAGGTATGTTCAAATGAATGAATTCATATGAACTACGATCTCCAAGAATATATGAAGTGGCGGCGAATTGTCGAACAATACTATCATAACGATAGTCTCTTTCTTTCGTTATTGAGTTTTTGATTATATTAGCCATCATAGGATTAAAACATGTAAAATCAATTTTGCTTTTCATAATGAAATTTGAATAGATGATAAGAGTTGAAAGAAATAGAAACTTTTGAACGAGACCTTCAGGAATAATTAAATCGGACGAGTTGTTTAAGCGAGAAAGAGAAGAACTTGAATGCTATTGATTAAGAACGCGAAAAGTTCGAATAAATATTTCGACTTCGTGTAAAATTCCTTTCTTTACTACAAAACTATCATCATTAAGTAATATTTCTACTTTTTTTAAATGGTAACAGCTCATTTGAGTCGAGTTCTAGAAATATAAAGATGTTGCTAACGTCAAGAAGACAGTCGACTGACGAAATATGTTGAGCTTGCATAATCTCGAGAACAATATCACCACAATTTCCTTTAACAAGACTGTAAAATGTCTCGTAATGAAGGAACAAAACGTCTTCTTTTAAATCATTAACGGACGAAGAACTTGACATTTGCCAAAAATTTTCTAAAAAATTCATAATAGTCATATCAAGACAGTTCACATACAGAAATTGTACAAAAAAAAGACATTCTTTGAAAGAAAGTATTCTTCAAACTTTACTCAATGCAAGTCGACTTTTAATGTTAGTCGCATCCTCTAAAAGATTATCTTATATGATGTTTAACTCTTTTTTTTTGTTATAAGCAAGTGTTTCATACCCTCGTTATCAAATTCATGTTGAGTATCAAGTATTGATTTTTTTCCAATGAAACAGATTAAGTCATAGAAGTTCTATCAGTTTTATGTCACATTAAGCATTCTATATATCGTCAATGTTATTATAAAAAAAACCAGCTAAAAGCAGGTCAAAAAACAAATAAATGATTACATTATACACAAATAAAAATCTAGTTAGAAAAATGTACATTCATAATTTTTTTATTTTTGGACAAAGGCAATCGAGATACTTGATTTTGTTTTCGCTATCCAAATATTGTTTGACTAGATGGAGTCGAATCTGATACGGTACTGATTATTTAATTATCAGACGTGTTTGTATTGTCATTAATAGATAGAAGATTTTGGAACCATATCGTCACTAGTATCTTTCACTTTTTGTTGAATCATAACACATGGATTGAATTTTGTTAAATGACGAACGTAATTCAACAACTAAAATAATATAAAAATTTTTTATATATTAATGTATGGATTCGTCATGATAAAGAAACGTGAGTAAAGCCATTATAAGGTTATCGGTATTTGTCGCATTTTGAAGTCAAAACAAATCATCTTCATACTGACATCAACCTTCCATATCTCAATCAATCAGCTGTACTACTCTCTAAAAAAAGGTATTCTAGGAAACTCAAAATAGGTTTCCGATAGTAACACAATCGGAAACCTTTTAAGGGTTTCCGAGACACGGTTTCCGAGACCTCGGAAACCGAAAAAAACAAATAAAATTTCCGTCGGACCAATGTCGGAAACAGATTAAAGGTTTCCGAGATTTCATTCGTCCCGTTCTGCATCGAGAATCACCTGATCGCTATAGCCCGGGCTGATCGTTACGCCCACTGGAAGCTACAGAAACCGACAAGAAAAATGCCTGCAGATTACCGTACTCAGAAAGAAAAAAAGGTGTCATACTGAACCTTTTAGGGTTCTAGATTTGGGTACCATTTTCAGAACCATTAAAGATTCAAGCAAAATCTAGTTCAAGCTGAAACTTTTTCCTATTTCTTTTGAAAATGGTTCTATGGTAGTAAAATGTAGTCCACCGCACTCAATTAGTCTAGTACTCTAGACTAATGTTTTATCCAACCGTTAAGTTCATACTTAATCTCTTATTCCTAACCTTCACCCTTATTTCTATCCTTAACCTAAATTCTAACCTTAACCCTTAATTATATCCTTAACCAATGTTTCTATTCCTAACCCTTAATACTATCCTTAACCACTATTTCTATCCTTTACCAGTATTGCTATCCTTAGTCCTCATTTCTATGCTAAACCGTTAAATCGTATGTGTTATATTTACCTGGATTTGTTGTGAGCAGAATACAAGCCAGCCCTTTCTCCTTTATTCGCACGAAAGGGAAATCGCCGTTAGTTGTTGTTGAGACGATCCTAAACATAAATAAGAGGAGTGATTGATACTGTAAGATTGAACTTACCGTGAGATCAATTGTTCACCTATACCTAAATAGAAAAAAACATTAATTCATTTTGTCATATTGGACTTGTATTTCAATTGATTATTGCTAAATACCTAAATAAAGAACATATTGACTTCATTTTACCAGATTGACATTACTTTCTATTGATAATTGTGATATATGAAAATAGATAAAATAATAAGTGCATTTTATAAGTTATAACGTACCATAGAATTGATTATTAAGACGCACCTACTCATATCCATCAATCCAACTCGGATCCTCAGGCTCGGTATTGATGATGACGGATTCCGATTCCTGGAACTCGATAACCTATTTCAAACTTTCATCAAAATTGAGAACGGAGTTGAAATAAAATGTCGAACTTTGTAGTTTGTGTAATTTGGATCTCGCGAGGTTGATCGCAGAAAATGTCTTTCTGAGATATTTTGAACTTGGATCATGTTCTATTTCTGAAATATTGAACATTTTTTAGAAGTATTATTAGCGGGCAAGGAGAGAGAGCTTTATGTGCGATTTCTTTTTTATTTATTTTAACTCGAAAATAAACATCACACATACGCGCACACACTACTAACTATAAAACCATTGATATATATATTTATATATATATATATCTATATATCTATATATATATCGAGGGTTTGGAAAAAAATAGAAATATAAGTGCAAAATAAAGAATGACCTGAGATAGTTCAGATCAAAGAAAAGAAAGAAAAATATAACGAGGGTTAGCCGCTAACAGTCGACCCCCCAAAACAAAAATGTGTGTTTGCACACAAAAACAAAACAAAAATTAATAACAACGCGTGTGTCAACACACACAAAAAGGAGACGAAATAGTTTTTTCTTACCGATATAATCGACGATAGTGTCGTTCGGTAAGGAGTCGATCGTGTAATAATGTTTTCACCTCATCGACTATTTTTTGATTTTTTAAGCCGATAAATAATGTATGTCGAACCATATTAATGTTAACATAATAAATGTCCATGGATTTTAATATTCGCTTAATTTTTCTAATGTTAAAATGCTTGTAAACGTCTCGGATAACTTCATAACGGTATCGATTTGCGCGATGTCGACAATTGATCGTTCGATTTCGGATTTGTTTGAGTGTTAATGTCGATGTTGTTTCTGTTGTTGAACCTAAATGATTGAAATTGCTTACCTGAGGTCCATCTACTATACGAACCGTCATCGTACGAGATGATAATTGTTGTGCTTGATGTTGTGTCATTGATAAATGATCAGGTTCATGCGAATAATGAAGTTTCATAATTTCAGGTAACGATTGCAAGTCCATATCATTGTTCCGTTCGATGTTCAGGATATTTTGTGGCATAGACGACGCAATATGATAATCTAATTCGAAATGTTCATTGGCAGGATAATTTTCATCAATGCCTAAAATATCATGAAAATTTTTTATTGGATTGATTATACTTATCTGTTGATGTGGTTGTTGTAATAATTCGTTTTCTTCGAGTTCATCTGTAACATGAACTATTAGTTCATCATATTGTGGTTCGATATTGATTGATAATTCTGATTGCATCTGTAATTCATCTTCATCATCGGATATTGCTTCATATTGAATCGTTGATGGTAATGTTGTAAATTTAATTAAATTCATTTTATATGCTAATTTTGCAACTGCAAATACGTCATTAGTTGCATATTCGTGTAATATTGATCGATATTTCTTTTCTTCATGTAAACGATATGTGCGCTCACGACCAACTACACCTAAGGGTAGATAAGTACCCAGCATTAAATCAATACCACATACCCATTCATCTAACGTTGCTATTTTGTTTAAATATTCTTGAAATTCATATTTAATGATCATTTGTAATGATTGTTTTTCATGGCGATCATATAAATATTGTATATCTGTTTCGATGATTGTAATATTTGTATTAAATAATTGAAACGGTTGAAATTTACTAAGTTCTTGTAATGCTGAACCCCATGAATAAATATAATTTTGCGATGTAAATATGATGCTACATAATTGTTGTATTTTTTTTAGATAATGGACTTGTGATTGATGGTAAGTATTGGACTTCGATAATGATAATTGTTGATGATAAATCGTGATGAATGTATTCAACTTGTAATGTTGCCGGTTTATGTGTTAATGCATAATCTTCAGTGTCCATGGAATAATGTTTGGTAATTTTGGCTTGATCAATTAATTCATCGATTAGTAATATATCGGTTCGCTCATGTATGTAATAACATCGATAATTTTGTGGTTGTTGGAATTGTGTTAATGTACCTTGCCGACATTTTTTTCTCCCTGTAATTCAGCTTCAAGCTTCACCTTCTTTGGCTTTCATGCCTGATTTCGTCGTAATAATCGTTCATATGGTGGTACATAACGATGTTGGGCTTGTGTTGAACATAAAATTTTCCGAGAAAAGTTCATCTTTATGCGTTAGCTATTAAGAAAAAAAACAAAAAAATGAACTCTCCCTGTATATGTATATATATATATTACGATTCGCGAGTAAATAGTTGCGGAATAATGCAGATAGGATATATCTGAAATAAAGAACATTACATGCAGGACTCGCATCAATGGCCCTCTTCTAATTATCGGTCCCCCCATGCATCTGTATAAGATTCATTTGTTGTAATTTTTCTATAGAAAACATCATTATGAAATATTTGTGTTTGACCTTTTATGAATTCATTTTGCACCGCAACTATTAGACGGTTGAAATAAACTTATATACGTATATGTATATATATATATATATACTAACGAGACGGAGAAAAGAAGGAAAACAATGGAAATCATAGCAGAACTGAAAAATAAAATGCTCGCGTAACATACAAGATAAAACGAAATATGAGAACGAGAAAAAAACGTTTTAAAGAAACAGGAAAGACAAAGACTAATAAGGCGGTCAGGCGTATACGTCCGGCACCGATAACTAACGATTTACTATATCTAGTGCGCGTTACTAATCTAATCTATACTTAATTCATTCTTTTTCGTTCGTATAATGGAATAATGACATCTATTGTAACTTGTCGAACTAATGTATGCTTCTTAATATGTTGCACGATAAATGTTTTTTTTCCCAGTTGTTGTGTAATCTTAAAGGGTCCTTCATACCTGATGTCGAATTTGTTTCGCTTGTTTAATGTTTTAACAAGAATAATATCATTAATTTTATAAATTGGATTTGTTCGATATCGATCATAACGTTCTCTATATTTGCGTTGTTGTTCTAAAATCTTGGCTTTCGCTTGTTCGGTTAATACGGATAAGTGTTGATTTAATTTTGTCTTGTGTTCTGGATCTTGTGATAAGGTAACTAATGGTTGTTGTTGATCAAAGGGAAACATTGGCTTATGATCATGTATTAATCCGAATGGACTTTGAGTAGTTATACGATGTATAGTGGTGTTGTAATTGAATGTAACGAATGGCAATTTTTCATCCCAGCTCGTTCGTTTTTCATTTGATAATGCAGCTATTTTTGCATCCATTGTTGCATTAAATCTTTCTATCTGTCCATTTGTCATGGGATGATAGCGTGTCGAGTATAAATGTGTAATTCCAATTTGTTTTAATAATTCCGTCATCATTTTAGCTGTAAAATGTGTACCATTATCAGTAAGAATACATTTAGGAGTACCATATTTAAGAATAACTTCATCAAATAAAAATCGTGCTGCAGTGGTAGCAGTGCAATCACGGACTGCTTTTGTAATTATAAATTTTGATAATACATCGGTCAATGAAATAATGTATTTATTTCCATTCTTCGTTATTGGTGTGATCGGTCCGCGAAAATCCATTGTAAGTAATTGCCATATTCCATTTGGAGGTTTTATTGGTTTCAAAGCACCAGATGGTTTTTTTCGTAGCGGATTGTTTTGTGAACAAATTAAACAAGATTTTATAAAATTACGAATGTCAGAAATCATACCTGGCCAAAAATATCGTTGTTGAATTTTATTAATCGTTCGATCACGACCAAAATGAGCACCATTCGCCGGTGTATCATGATAAATTTTCATTATATCTGAACGTATTCGTCCTTTAGGTATAACTTGAGCTGGTGGACATGCTTTCTTCATTAACATACTATCTTTGATAAAATATTTCTTATGGTTCTGGATGTTATTAATTATGTTCTTAATTTCTTCATCTTGATGTTGTGCTTCTTTTAATTGTTCCCATGTAAAAGGTATTATTTGTTGTATTTCATTTGTAACCACGGGTGTATGACACTGATTATAGTGTGTGCCACAGGATTGTACGACTTCTATGTCTACATTCGTCTTTCGGGTGTCCATCTCACAGATGCGATCTACCGAATGGAGATCCGACCTCTCAGCAACTTGTTGTTTTGGGTAATTACGGGTGATTACAGGTGCAACGATTTTCGTCTTCATATACTCGTCAGTTTGTGATGATGCAGATTTCGTTGGTGTATAGTCATCTTCATCATTTGATCCATTATTTACTGTTGAACGTGATAAATAATCAGCTACTGTATTATGTTTGCGTTTAATGTATTTAATAGTAAATCGATATTGTTGTAATTTTAAACACCATCGTTCACATTTCGAATTTAGTTGTTGCTTTGAATTAAGTGGTAATAATGGTTTGTGATCTGTTTCAATAATAAATGATTGGCCGTCTAAATATTTATGCCATTTTTCAATAGCATATATAATAGCATAACATTCTTGTTCCGTTGCAGGCCAATTCATTTGTGTTGCTGTGAATTTCTTTGATAAATATGCTACTGGTAGATCGCCGTTAGGATGAGCTTGCATCAGTACTGCTCCAACACCAATTTTAGATACATCCGTTTGTATCTTGAATGGTAAATTTTGATCTGGAATGCGTAATACTAAATCATTGGTTAATATTCTCTTTAATTTATTAAACGCGTCAAGTGCATCATCGGATAAAGTAATAGGTTTTGCTTGTGATTTTGTTTTTCGTTGTTCTTTGGTGGTTGGTGCATATTGATGTAAAGGTTGTGCAATCGTTGAAAATCCAGGTATAAATTTACGATAATATTCAGCAGCTTTGACGAATCGAAATGCTTCTTTCGCTGATGTCGGCTGTTGAGTTTCTAATAACGCGCGAATATTGTCAGCATTAGGTCGAATACTACGATGTTGAATATGATGTCCTAGATAATCTATTGATGTTCTTGCTATTTGACATTTAGTAACATTAAGCCGAAAATTTGCATAATTTAATCGATTAAGAATATCATTGAGATGAATAAGATGTTCTTTAAACGTTGTCGAGTATATTATAACGTCATCGAGATACGCTAATGAATATTTCCATCTTGCAGGCCCAAGTATTTGACTAACGATACGTTGAAATGCAGGTGGACCATTTGTAACACCTTGAGGTAACACTGTAAATTGATAATGTTGATCCCGAGTGGAAAAAGTCGTTTTTGGACGATCATTGGGATCAAGTCCAACTTGAAAATAACCTGATTTGAAATCGATGGTTGTATAATATTCTGCTTGTGATAAATGGTCAAAGATATCATCAATTCGAGGCATTGGAAATACATCTTTCGTAATAATGCTGTTTAATTTCCTAAAATCAATGCAAAATCTAACAGATTCATCTTTTTTACGAGCCAGTACTATTGGTGATGGCCATGGCGATGTAGATTCTTCAATCACGCCTTGTTTGAGTAATTTTTCGATTTCTTCGCGTTGTATCTGTTCATCTTTGTATGAAACACGATATGGTGAAGTATAAATTGGTGGATGAGCACCAGTTTCTATAGCATGATGGATGGTGGCTTTAATGATGGACGGTTGACGTAGCCCAGGACGAGCTTTACGACGTCCGTATACGGTGAAATACGAGCCGTATACGGCCGTTTTCTGCCGTATACGACGGTAAATCGCCGTATTTGACCGTATTACATGGCTCCGTATTACGATCGTAAATCTCCGTGTCGTAATACGGTGAAATACGATCAAAAACGACCGTAAAGCGCCGTATTTCGCCGTATACGGCACGGAGATTTACGATCGTAATACGGAGCCATGTAATACGGCCAAATACGGCGATTTGCCGTCGTATACGACCGTGTATGTTCGACCTGGGAGATCAAATAATTTTCCGTGTTTTCATAATATCTGTTGTAATTGTTCTCGTTGTTCTGTATCTTCAATATGTCGAGTTAATTGTTCAATCTGTGTTCGTATTTCTGATGGATAACATTTCTGGCGTAAATGCTGTTGTAGATCATTGCGTGATAAAAATTGTTCTTGATATACATAACATTGAAGTTGTTCTTCATAATGGTTGTTCATTCGACAGGTTAAGCCCCGAGATGGGACTTTCCTATGTGTTGCAAATACGCAGGAACGATCCCGTAAATGGCTGTCCCTCTTACGAAAAAATATCTCTGTAGACATTAAACGTTTATTATTAACTTGTGATACTTCTGGTAGAATAAGGTAATTGTTTGTTTCGGATCGATATGAAATATGTCCTAATATTGTATTTTTTGATAATGTCTTTTGACGATCATTTGCATTAATAATCATAATTCGACTTCTGTTTCCTTCTACTTTAATTAATGCATTTATTAAGAAAATCGCTTTCGAATGTAAGTTTGTGGTTGGTTCAAATAATGCTTCTGATGTTTTGTTCATCGATGATAATATTTTATTGTTAATGCATTTTTCAGACTTTGATGGAAGGGTAATTTCTTCTGTTAATAGAACAGGTAATCGAAGTTGCTTTGGTTTAATAAATGGTGTTGATAGTATAACTTTTCTGTTCTCGTTCATAAGAAAAATGTGTTGTTGTGGTGAATCGATAATAATATTGTTTGCATAGATCCAATCGTTTCCAAGTAATAAGTCAGTAATAAGATTAGTTGCAACATCTGCTAATATATATGTTTTGTGTCCTTGTATTTTAATTTCAAGTTCAATTTCACCAATAATATTACTTGATGAACAATTAGCTGATTTGTGTAATTTACTTTTGTAAATAAAGTTCTTGTGATAAATCTTTTTTAATAATTTATGATTAATAATGGTGACTGCAGATCCAGTATCGATGATTGCTTCATGTTGTTTATTATTTACTTGAAAGTTTATATAAATAGGTGTTGGTAATGTTGATGATGTATAATTTATTCTGGATGGATTTTGTTTGTTACTGGAATGACCACCATCGCGGGTTTCAGCTAGTAGAAAATCTGAGGACAATCACGTATCTGATGATCGGGTTGTCCGCATTTATAACATCCATGTGATTTTTTTTATAATAACAAGCATTGGTTCGATGATTAATACGTTGGCATATAGAACATGGACGATGTTGTGAATCTGGTTGTGTCGATGGATGAGATGGTTGTCTATTTGGTTGTTGCTCTCGTCGTGTATAATACGTTACAGTATGATGTGGTTCTAGCCGGCGAGGAATGGATCGTTGCTGTGAGCAAAAATCACGACCATCTGATTTCGATCGTGATGAGTTATGATTTATCGGTGATGGTGAATATTGTTTGGTGTGTTCATATGTTGTCTGTCGTGGTGGAGAATATTGAGATGTTGTTGTTTCATCGGAGTTACTTTGAATTTTCTTTGATGTTGTTGATACTTTGTTTGCAATGAATGGCAAATAAGGTTGTGTTGATTCTTGTTCAGTTGAATTTTCTTCTTGTAATTCCTGTTCATCTTTTGCAATTTTTAGAAATGCTTGAGCTGTTCGTGCTGATTCTGGTAATAACTGCATCTGTCGTTTAATATGAGTTTTTAATGAATCTTTAATTCCATTTTGTAACCATGATATCATCATCTTCTGTGACATAGCTGAATCATATTCACGACATAATTTAATGACAGCATCATAATATGATGTAATCGTTTCATCTAACTTTTGTTGACGTTCTTTTAATTGTTCAAATATTTTTGATGATGAATCCGATGTTGTGTATCTTTCTAATAATGACGATTTTAAAGTTTCCCAATGGGTTAATGACATATTATCTTCATACCAACGTTTTGCTTCACCATCTAATTTTGCGGTACACATACAGAGTAAAATTTCATCCGGTGCACTGATCATTTTCCCAATTCGTTCAATGTTGCTGATGAATTTTAAAATTTTTTGTTCTTCACCCCCATGGAATTTTTCTAAATTCGACAGGCTTTCTCTGTAACATATCATCATTGCTGAATCTTGTGTGCTATTACGCATGGTTTGCATATATCGACGTGAATGTTCCGTAGTATTAGTTAATGCTTTCAAAGTTATCTTTTTTACAAAAACATTCCGATGTTTTCGTTAATAAGTCACCTTCTAATTCAGGACCCTTATCGAGATTTCGTAAGTTGTAAGCCGTTGTTAATGATTAGTTTGATCTACTCCTTGTCCTCTTGTACAACAAGAAATTCGAAATAAATTTCTTTTTATTTTTATATGTTGTTACGGTACAAGTAATTCGTAATGAATTCCTTCTGATTTTATTTTTTAATATTCAGGTTAGTCCTGATTAGGAATGACCTCTGGTAAGATTTTTATTATTGTTAAAATAATAAAAGTAATCGGTCATGGCACCAAATATTAGCGGGTAAGGAGAGAGAGAGAGAGCTTTATGTTCGATTTCTTTTTTATTTATTTCAAATCGACAACAAACATCACACATACGCGCACACGCACTACCAACTATAAAACCGTCGATATATATATATCGAGGGTTTTGGAAAAAAATAGAAATATAAGTGCAAAATAAAGAATGATTTGAGATAGTTCAGATCAAAGAAAAGAAAGAAAAATATAACGAGGGTTAGCCGCTAACAAGTATCTTAGCTGAAACCATAAATAGTTCCATATGACACCTTTTTTCCAGAGCATTGGCTGATTTTTTGAGTAAAACTTAGTTTTAAGCCGTCGGTTGTTAGTTAGACAGAAGTTTTTGGTGCATGTCGAAAGAGCACACTTCAAAGTACTGTAACATGAGTAAACTGTAAAACGAGGTACAATTTTAGTTGTCCAGAACGCCAAAGAAAGTTCCAGTAATGTGCCTTTGACAGTAGACACTAACGTCTTGAGCTTCTGATCTGTTATTTTGGTCATAGATCGCTCTAAAAAAAAGCATTCGCATATAGTTTTATAGAGTGTGGAACGAAAATTCTAATAAAAACAATATTTGATCCGATCGGATCAGAACTGGTGAAGTTATTGAAGAGATAAAAAATACTTATTTATTCTGGCACATCGGTTATATATATGGGCGTGCTTAGCCATAGAAGGCCCCAACTTCTTTTTTGCTCATATATGAGCAAAAAAGAAGTTGGGATCTCCTATGGCGGAGCACGCACATATATAGCGGGTGGTGCAAAAGCTTTGCATTAATTTATTTTTGATGTATCGCTGGGGTGGAACCTTGCCGAGATTTTGTCTTTTTTTGTTTTTATTATAAAGAGAAAAGTGTCTAATACCAAAATAGGCAAATGAATAATGCTAAAAAATTTTGATAGAGGCTACAAAAAATTTAGAACAGAAACCATTGAAAAACGACTCTGCAACTTTGGTGAGAATCTTGCAATCCGAACATATTTATTTGAGCTTTTTCTTCATTGCCGTGTGGTACTTTTTGCGAACCTTGCATATATAGTTGTTTATCAAGAAAAACACTTTCGTTTGGTATTAAAATGATTGATCTAGCATATAAGAGAATTAACAGAAGAGAATACAAATAAAAACGTTGATTTTGCGGATTTAGGGTCCACGACGCGTAAGGGTGTCACATTTAAATTTAAAAAAATTTATTAAATCGAGAAATAAATTTTCAAAAATTTAAATTTAAAATAAATTAACTTTTTTTCAAATGAAAAGTTAAATTTAAAATTTTGTATCATTTAAATTTAACTAAATTTAAATTAAATTGTTTCAAATCAAATTAGTTAAATTTTGCAAACAAGTAGAAAAACATAGTTTTTGACTTGATTGCTACTATTTAAAGTCAAATTTAAGTATGTTTCCTGTTTTCTAAAGTTAAACTAGTCATTCTTCTATAAATTGTGCTATTAAATATATTTTTATGAGTATCCTAGTATTTTGAAGAAGAAAGATGACGGGTCCTGCATCATCTGTACAGAATTTTTGACTATTATGAATAAATATTAACCTGAAATACTAGGTTTTCTTCTCATTTTGTATTTACTACTGTTAAAGTCACGTATTTTTCTCGTAGCCATGATGTGTATCCATCCAAACAATTTATTAAATTTAAAATTTAAATTTAAAAAAATTTATTAAATCGAGAATTAAATTTTCAAAAAGTTAATTTAAATTAAATTAAAATTCTGAAAATTTAAATTTATTTTAAATTTAAATTTTTGCATCAGAAGAATTTAAATTTATTTTAAATTTAACTTAATAGAATTTAATTTAAAATTAAATTAACTTTTCAAGAAGTTAAATTTAAATTAAATTAAATGTAAATTGACACCCCTAACGACGCGGAAACAAATGTTTGGTTGTAAATTGTGCAGAATATCCGTGCCTTATTTCAAATAATATCATGCGAAAGAGAACTCGTCAAGCATATATTTTCGCATGAATTATATAGTTTCTAGTAATCTCGCAGCCTAAATGGAATTTATTTTTTCGACCGTAATCGAGAGTAATGAAGCATGTAGACATCATACGATATGGTTAACGAGTTATTTTCAGTTATTTTAAAAATGAAAAGAATTTTCGTTTTTGCATTACAGGACTTTACTACCCGTACTTGGTAAAACTGGTATAAAAAGAATGAAAATAAGAGTGGCCCGATTAAATGAATTTTTTTAAAAATTCTCACCAATGTTGTGGAATCGTTATTCGATGACTTCTGTTCTAAAGTTAATGTAGTCTCGATCAAACACTTTCAATGATATTCATTTGCATATTTTTGCACTAGACACTGCTCTTTCTAATAAAAAAACAGATAGCATCTCTGTAAGATTCCATCCCAGTGTTACATGAAAAACAAAATTAATGCAGAACTTTTGCAGCACGCATTATATATACATTTGTCTTGCAAACTAGACAAGACTGATAGAGAAGCTGTTAGCGACAACTCTACGAGATTCAAATGTGAAACAGGATGAATCTATTGATATCATGAACGAGAGTGGCCAATTCTACTAGAATGTCTCTCTCGGTTCGTGGCATATTTGAGCTCTTGAACCAGAAACCACTACGTAGACAAATCTCTCAGACAGAAGCCCCCCCAAATACATCCGACAAAAACCGATTGAATACCACAGGATCCGGCAAGTTTCAACCATCAGATATTTCATTCATCTTTATCACAAGCTACATCGAATTTTCTTTTAAATATTTCTTTGCTGTAAAAGTATACAGAATCCGTGAAAAATGTATCGAACTACAGTCAATGATTGATGAATGAACTCAAACATATATTAAGATTGTTGGCATAAGTTTTACAAGACTGAGCTTTGAAATATGATGGAAACGCTTAGTTACATACTGAAGCGGAGGGGTGAGAGGGAGCACGAGTTTCCTTGTTACAGAAAAGAAGGGAAGCATATAAAAAGCCCTTTTCGGCTATTTTATTTTTTCTCTAAAATGAAATATGAAGTAATACAATTCCGTAGAGCTTGATCTAACAAATCTAACCGTGTGTGATTGTTGCCAAAAAGTTTTTAATTTGAGGTACTGTTGCTATTTTCAAGTTCGAAAATTGGTGAACCCTACTTTGGTCGAAAGTAAAAATGTCGAAAGATAAAAATGTCGAAAAGTAAAGATATGGAAAGGAAAAAAAATCTTATTTTAATTTTATGCGTGTAAAAACATTAAAATATTTTTTGCGCTTAAAAAGTTTAATTTATCGAAACAACGTTCGGAGAAAATTTTCATTTAAAAATACGGAATCATGCTCGATGAATAACTATTCTTCAGCCGTAAATTGGGTTTCTATATGTTTCTTTTTTGCTCCAACAACTAATGATAAGTCAGTAAGTAGATCTGATGAGTTGAATGACGTCTGAATTTGATTGATGATGATGATCACATTTACCTCCGTATAAATAAACATCATTTTCATCAGGGTGAACTACCATTTGAGCATCCACTAACAATACAAATTCAATCTTTTTACGGGCCGTCTTCTTATTACATTTGTATAATTGTTCATTCATAACTAACAGTGGGTGACCTTTGTTTGATGTAATGAAGGATAAGTTTTCATTTTCATCAAAACTTGAATTCGGAGAAATCGACATACAGTTTATCAAATTTTTACTATAGAATATTTTTTCTATAATCCTTACGACAAAGGTGTCTCTGTTAAATTTTAGCCGACAAAGATGTGAATTCAAGTTAAGAAATGAATGGGTAACGTAATCAACCAATAACTATAATCACAATATAAATGTATCTACGAATCGTTTGATACAACTATTTTCGTTGTTTTTATTCTTAGAAAAATTTTCCTGCCAACATTTTTACCTTTCGACCAAAGTAGAGTAAACCCTCTTAGGGGTGTCGCGTTCGCGTTCCCTTTTTGGAAACGGGTACGAAAAAGTTTGATGAAATAAAATGATAAAGAATAATAAATAAAAACTTCGAGTCATTTAGAATCCCTTTCAAATCTCAGCTTGCGATGCGTTGCCGTTCCTAGGAACGGAAATCTCTGACACCCCTAATACCTCTTTGGATAGAGAACACGTAGACAAAAAAAGTTTCACTAGTCTAAATCGATGGATTTTTGGTCACTGATCGATCTGAAGGGCCTCATATCTCAGATAGTCAAGAAACTCGGGCAGTCAAAATTGTTATGTTAGTAGACTAGGTGTACAGCTGCAAGAACCTGTATAACTTGGTCGAAAAAAAACGATGACGTGAATTCCTCATTCTTTCCCTCAAAAGGATGACATACTTGAAATCAGCATTAAAAAACTCAGCCCTGCTCTTCCTATGGGTGAGGGCAAAATGGAAAGCCATCAAAATGCAAAATTCAGATTCTGTTGTTGCATGAGAGGCTTCTCTAGAGATCTTCAGCAATTCAGAAAAGCTTTCGAGTGAGCGAGATCAAATTGACGTTGACGCATTTGCAAATACGAGAGAGTATGTCCGCGGAGTCAACATTTCTTCCATCGACAGAAAGGATAGTATGAAGAAACCATAATGTTCATTGTTGTGTTCGTACATCTGATAAATGTTGTTCGATTTTTTCATCTATCGTTCAGAGTATTTCTGCTGGAGAAAGAACTGTACGACCTATATCTGTATAGGGAAGTGAGCTGTCTCAACCTATGCTTTAACTTTTATCAACAATGTTTTTTTCATAAGTTTGTCCTATGATATCATCCGCTGCCAACACCCTTACGATACGACAATGACGAACATGAGGACATGAAGTAGTTATGTGCGATTTTTTCAAATTTTATGAAAGCTAATTAATTAGCGGACCTCTAAAAGTTAACACCTATTGTGTGTAGTGAAATCTCTTTTGTGAATGTGAAGCATACTTGGGGTGGTGGTTGTTGTTGTCGTGGAAGTTGTAGAAGTCGTCGTAGTAGTTGTTGTTGTTGTTGTTGTTGTTGTCGTTGTGGTGGTAGTTGTTGTTGTGGTGGTCGTCGTTGTGGTCGTCGTTGTTGTTGTTGTCGTCGTTGTTGTTGTTGTCGTCGTTGTGGTCGTAGTTGAGGTAGTTGAGGTACTTGTTGTACTTGTCGCTACCATAATATTTCAAAGTTAGCGTTTCACACAAAGTTTTCAAGATGCGTATTAAGGCTGAGTTAGAAACACAAGCTCAACTGCTCAGAAGAAAAGTAAGCATTCTTATTGCCAGTAAATTTATCTATAGAATTTAGCGACGATTATATACATCCGAGAGATGACATCTTTGAAGTATCTTTTGTGAAACACGACATGAAACGAGTGTTGAAGTATAAAGCGAGAAATTCCGACCCACATATTGTGAGATACATCACCAGAGTGCCATCATGGGTTGTAGCCAAAGGTACAAAGGTGTGTACGTAGAGGGGTGGGGGTCCTGTCTGAGAGATTTGTCTACGTAGTGGTTTCTGGTTCAAGAGCTCAAATATGCCACGGGCCGAGGGAGACATCCTAGTAGAATTGACCACTCTCGTTCAAGACATCAATAGATTCATCCTGTTTCAGATTTAAATCTCGTAGATTTCCCGCTAACAGCTTTTCTATCAGTCTTGTCTAGTCTGCAAAACAAATGTATATATAATGGGCGCTGCAAGAATTCTGTATTAATTTTGTTTTTCATGTAACACTGGGGTAGAATCTTACAGAGATGTTATCTGTTTTTTTTATTAGAAAGAGCAGTGTCTAGTGGGAAAATATGCAAATGAATATCATTGAAAATATTTGATAGAGACTACATAAGCTTTAGAACAGAACCCATCGAATAACGATTCCATAACATTGGTGAGAATTTGGAAAAAATTTCATTTAATCGAGCCACTCTTATTTTCATTCTTCTTATACGAATTTTACCAAGTACGGGTAGTAAAATCTTGTAATGCAAAAACGAAAATTCTTTTACTTTTTATAATAACTGAAAATAACTCTTTAACCATATCGTCTGGTGTCTACATGCTTCATTACTCTCGATTACGGTCGAAAAAATAAATTCCATTTAGGCAGTGAGATTACCAGAAACTATATAATTCATGCGAAAATATATGCTTGACGAGTTCTCTTTCGCATGATATTATTTGAAATAAGGCACGGATTTTCTGTACGATTTACAACTAAACATTTGTTTCCGCGTTATGAACCCTAAATCCGCAAAATAAACGTTTTTATTGGTATTCTCTTCTGTTAATTCTCTTATATGCTAGATCAAACATTTTAATACGAAAGGAAAGTGTTTTTCTTAATAAACAACTATATACGCAAGAGTCGCAAAAAGTACCACATGGCAATGAAGAAAAAGCTCAAACAAATATTTACGGATTGCAAGATTCTCATCGAAGTTGCAGAATCGTTTTTCAATGGTTTCTGTTCTAAATTTTATGTAATCTCTATCAAAATTTTTTAGTGTTATTCATTTGCCTATTTTGGTATTCGACACTTTTCTCTTTATAATGAAAATAAAAAAAGACAAAATCTCGACAAGAATCCACCACAGTGATGCATCAAAAATAAATTAACGCAAACCTTTTGCACCACCAGCTATATATATATAACCGATGTGCCAGAATAAATAAGTATTTTTTTTTCTATTCAATAACTTCACCAGTTCTGATTCGATCGGATCAAACATTGTTTTTATTAGAATCTTCGTTTCACGCACTGTAGAACTATATGCGAATGATTTTTTTAGCGCGATCTATGACCAGAATAACAGATCAGAAGCTCAAGACGTACAAGAGTGTCTACTGTCAAAGGCACATTATTGAAGTTTTCTTTACCGTTCTGCACAGCTAAAAATGTACCTCGTTTAACAGTGTAGTCATGTTACACTACTTTGAAGTGTGCTCTTTTCAACACGCTCCAAAAACTTCTGTCTAACTAACAACCGAAGGCATAAAACTAAGTTTTACTCAAAAAATCAGCCAATGCTCTGGAAAGAAAGGTGTCACATGGAACTATTTATGGTTTCAGCTAAGATACTGAATCTTTTAAGGTTTGATTCGTTTATTAATAAACCATCGAGGGTTCTAGCTAGTTTAAAGAATCATCTCAGACCCTCAATAGTACTGGATGCTTGAAAAGGATCCGCCCTGAACAATTTTTTTTATTGGTTAACCATTTTTCCAAAGATGGTTCTGGCTTGGCCGAAGATACTATATGTTTCGGAACGTGATTTAAGTAATATAAATCTCAAATACGTTATTGAGATCGAGTAATCTGAATCCATCATCATTTTTTTCGATGCCAAGGGTGCGATAGTTGAATGAAGGACCTGGGTACTTGTATCTCCAAAATCAAATCAATAATTAGTGACAATTTTTGAAGTGCGATTGTTCTTTTATGTTTTTCGATATGTCACATGTATGAATAGACAGGTAATGTCGATCTAATAAAATGAATTCAAGATTTTCTGTAGTTAGATTTGTATGAATAATCAATTCAAATGCAAGTTTAAAATGTAAAATGAATTAGTGCTTTTTTTAATATTTTAGGTATATGTGAATAATTTATTTAATGGTAAGCTGAATCTTACAATATGAATCACTGCTCTTTTTTTTTGCTTAGGATCATCTCAACAACAACTAACGGCGATGTCACTTTCGTGCGAATAACGGAGAAAGTACTAGCTCGTATTCTACTCACAGCAAAGCTAGGTAAATATAACACATAGAAATAAGGGTTAAACTTAGGAGTTATGGATTAGATATGAAATTAACTGTTGGACAAAGTGTTAGTCTGGAGTACTAGACTAATTGAGTGTGGTGGACTACATTTTACTACTCTAGAACCATTTTTGGAAGAAGATTTTGCTTGAACCTTAAATGGTTCTGAAAATGGTACCCAAATCTAGAGCCTTAAAAGGTTCAGTATGACATCTTTTTTTCTGAGCACAGCGTATATCTTTTCCTCAAATCTCGTATTTTGACCTCAAAAGTTTCTTCATTGGGGCGGGGTTTCAACGATGAAAGTTAAGATACTAGAACATCACTTTATAATCTTTAAAATATTTGCTGTACAATAAACTCAGAGCGAATAACGCCTTGAAAATTGCTATTTGTGGATTTGTTGCACCTGAGAATACAAAAATCCATGTAAATCTGAGATTTTCTTGTCGATATACTACGCAACCTTTTTTCATTTTTCATTCATCCTAAGCGATTCAACAATGGCTTCCAGTGCTATTATAGTTCTCTTTTCTGTACTTTACAAGACGTATTCCTTCATGTTAACTTACTTGTCGTCCGACCATCTATTAATATAATTGGGAGCATAATCGCGGCAATCCCTATAACAACAACTACAAAAGCCAAGATAAGCAAGATCATTTTTGCTGAGGGCGATCTCATACGCTTTCTAAAAGAAAAGAAAATTTATGCTAGAAATAAGTCAGTATTTTCAGAAATAAACTAACCTAGCTTTGGATTTTCTGAAGTTTTCTGCAGTGACATCAGGCACCCTTGCGAGGTCGCAGTTAATGGCTGTCGTTGATACTTCAGATGACACAGTATTCTAGACGAAAAGTAAATCTACTTGTGACTCAGAAGGTTAGGAATCGTAGAAGGAACATCAATTTTGACATATTTTGGCTATTTTGTGACGCATTTAGCTAAGGATATTGATTTGCTTTGGTACATATCTCCTGGTGCTACCTTCAAATTCAATTAATGTTCGTCATCGAGGTAAATTTCTATTGTCTGTTGTTATATATGATTTGACCTTATCACTACATACATGGATATATATATACACATACATACATATATACACTTGTTTTTCCTTTCTCTTCTTTTTTTACTCTCGCTGTCTCTTCCCTGGTTGTGCTCGTTCTTATACGTTGATGTAAAGTTTTTTTTTTATCATCAAGGTTAATAAAGATGTAACTAAAGTTCTACAGCTAACAATGTTTCACTTCGAAGTTCATGAAATAGATTATCAGTGCACTCCTGACAGAGTTCAAACACGAAGCCCACACATTCTATATCAATGATGATTAGTTCTAGTATAGAATTAAGTAAATTCAGATTCGATAGTTATTATATTGTAAAAAAATTGTTGTCTGTATTTCATATATTGACAAAGCCGGAAATCCTAAGGGTATTCCGAAAAAAGTGATGCATTTCCAAAAACCATCAAATCCTTTTAAGCATAAAATGCTCGGAAACTTCTTTGTCGGTTTCCCGGAAACGATATTTTGGACGGCATATTTTTGTTCAAATGATCTTGAATTGCTCTGCAAAAGCGCATACTCGTTCTCAAACTTAAAGCGCAAATTTTATGCCAGTTCCACCAGAATGCGGCACTTCAACGATTACAGGACAGTTGAATCACAAACTGCACACGTTTCTAAACTATATTGTGTATGAGCTATCATTAGCAGTGAACTTGATTTGGATTTTGAACATCATGGAAAGTCAAGTTTGACTCTATTCGATTTTATCTTTAATGCAGAAATGTTACTTACAATTGGTTCCATTGTGTCAAACTGTTCACGTGAAATTTCAAAAGTAATATAAACACAAATACGTGATTAATCTAAAAGAATTATTAAAAATCAATGATGCATAAGATCTAAAATGCTAAAATTCCACACATTATGTTGAATATGCATTTAAACATTAGTATATGATATTTGAGCTGAAAAAACTGGGATACATGAGAGCTGATCGAATAAATTTATCTGGCATCCTATGAACCAAAGTGAACGGATTTTAGAGACGAAGCTTTCGTTATTGGAGCATCAAGTGTCCTCGTTTACACTGGCCATTATAATGCTAAGCCTATAATGAGACTATCGCTGCCTTTCTCCTATCTTGTAAATGGCCTCATTGACTTGGGTAGTCTATTTTTCAGCGAAGAAAATCTTCGGGGTATGATGTGTGATTTGTGGGATGCGAGCATGAATCAGAAATGCCTACACTAAATAAAAATCGTTTTCCCAGGAGCCCTGGAAAATAGGTTCCTAGGCGGATTCCGAAAACCTGAATACGTTTCCGGACTAATCTCGAGTACATATAAAAGGTTCTTGGAGAGAAAAAATGCGTTTCCGAGCTTCGGAAACCTTAAAAGCGTTTAATATAGTGACAGGCCCAGAAACCCTGAAGGGTTTCCGTAAAAGTGACAGGGTTTCGGGATTTTTGGAAACGGATGATTTTCCGCAAATCATGAAGCGCTTCCGGGTTTGTCACTGTATGAAACGTTTTAATGGTTTCCGAAGTCTGTAAACCCTTTTTTGCTCTCCAAAAATTTAAAATGTTTCCACGATGAGTCCGGAAACCTTTTTTTGTCGGTTTCCAAGAAAACGACTTTTATTTAGAGTGGGTGCCAACGCGGCCGATTTTCATCGGCGATACGCATCTCTGACCTGGATATGGGTTTATCGGTGGCTGTCGATGCCGATGCCGATGCGCATTAGGAGGATATCGATACTCACAACCATACAAAGAACGATTGATATAATCAAGTTCGTGTAGGCTCAAACTTTGAGAGTTGTATGCGGTGCGACTGAGAAATTCTTAAAGAAAGTTTTCAAGGCGATGCATTAAAATAGAGTAAAATTCAACTTTAGCCATGACCGTTTAAACCCTTTCTGTCAAGTCAAAAAATTGGCAGAGCGTCACAAAATCTCTGCCAATTGGCAAACGTGTGTTGCAATTGACGGCGTGTCTCATGATTTTCTGCCCATTGGCAGAAATGGCTATGAAACTATAAAGTCGAATTTCTAAATTAGCTTAAAAAAATATTTTACACTAAACTTAAAGGTATTTTTTTATTCTGTTATGGTTTATTAGTTGTGGCGGTGTGGTAGTGTGGGTACGAGAGTAAGCATGTGGCAAAAATAAGTGACCCACACCCTAACATAAGTAATTTGTAAGTGCCCATGGGCGATCTTTTGCCAATTGTCAGAACGTCACTGGCAGAAAGGGGAATTGCCAGAGTGACATAGATCTGCCATGACCATGTGAGTAGATTCCATGCGACCGTACCATTATATGAAATGGAAGGGCTGCAATCAGTGTTTGCAACGGAAATCTAAAGCAAAATGTGACAAAGCGTACGAAAACCTAACTTTTCACAATCTAAAAAGCTACATAAATTGTTAGCTTTTGTTCTCTATTCAGTTCATCATAGGATTGAACCGAAGAGATCGCACTTTACGATGATTTCAGGATAATGAGTATTTTAGTATTACGTGCAGCTTTTAAGGTTCAGAAATCAAAGCGTAAAATGTTTTAGCAAAGTGTACAGTGTACACTTGCTATTATAAACACTGGCTGCAATGCTTTTGAATTCAAGCTTGCATATGATCGCAGCTTCTCTACCAATAAAATATTGAAATTCAGTTCTATGCGTTTTCTATAAGAATTTTAGTGTACTTTAAGTTAAAATAAGCATGAAAGCTGTTAGTGTGCAATCCCTGCGACAGTAAAAAAGTGAAACACAGTCTAACTATTGTTGATACTTCTCTAAAAGACGGGTCTTTTTTTATGCATATTAATGCATACTTTTAGTTGATGAATTACTTTGTAGTCTAGGACTCCGACAAGGAAATACTTTATATATATTCCAATCTGATGTTACTTGTACATTATCGTCGATAGTCTTTTGAGCCCGTCTATCACGATTTGTGGGGAATGCAAATTTCTACAGCATATGCTTCAACACTTCTGTCAAATGGTGTTTCACAAAAACATTAGTCACACGCCAGTGACTCTCACTTTGATTGAAAAAACTTACTATCCAAAAATTCTGGTCGAAAAGAATTTCATGCTCATTTGAATCTACAAAACGAACAATCCTCTTTTGCTCGCTCCAAGATAGGAAATATTGGACATAACTATTCGGGTAGTTTTTTCAACATAAGGGTAAATATTTTAGCCTTTATCAGCGTTTCAGTGCCATTTTGTAATGTTACGCATACCATGAGAGCGTTGCTGAGGGCAAGCTCAGTAGCCAGTTTAATAGAAAATGGCATGAGATGAGGCACTAAAATGGTCCTGAATACAAACAATACAATAGTTATCAACACACTCATAGCTTTCTTACTGTCACTTGGTACCAATGAAGACTACGATCAGATGAAAATAGAGAATATGTTTGCGCAGTAAGAAAGTCCATTCCATGGTTCGACGTAGTAGCCAAATGTTTTTAAAAGTGAAAAATTTGCTGTCGCTCAAGTGTCATGCGACGACAACAACTAATTCATCAGAAGTAGAGAAAAATGTTTTTGCAATTGTATGTCTATTATGTAGTTCCATCAAGAACAAATTCTTTTGTATTTTTTCCCTCAGTTGAATATGTCACATTTAAAAGCATTTACTTAAACATGAAAGAAGAAATATTACATTATGACTTCGTTTCAATCAAATACAAATCATGCGTGGCTAAAAGATTTTTTCATCGATGAATTCAAAATCTGGAAATGGCTGGAAGTTTCAGAGTATACATGTGAGTGCCTCGTGATAAGTCAAGGGCAGTAAAATATCCAAAATATTCATTAGTTGAGCTGGCCAGGAGATATGGCTAATATGAACTCTTTCATTAAGTACTCAACAGCTTTGAAAGAAGATTTTCATTTATTAATGAATGAAGAGTTACCAATCCTTCTCATTTGGTTTTCTGGTATTGGAATTTCTGGAAGCTTCCACATATAAATAGAATCTCAGCACAATCAAAAAAGAACAATGTCATACCTGATGCATTCATTTCTATAACAAATAAAGTCCTTCGCAGTTTCTCATATAATTTTTCATGGATTTAAAGAAGCAACATGCTAAAATGTCTGTGACAGTCTATAATACATGTTGTCAAAATCGCCTAAGTTTGAGCGATCAATCCTCGATTATTTTCATTGAAGTTCCAGAGACATTTTTTGTTGGGTGATTAGTTTTGATTAGCAAAAAAATGGGAGGCGGCTATTGTTCTGTGGATGCGTACCTTCAATATTTTAATTTTGATCCTTTTAGCTAATGCTTATCTGTATGATATATATGAGAAGGGTCCAGGAAAATTGCTCGAACGAAAATTGATCGCGGTTAATTGGTCGATACGAAAATTGGTCGATCGATAATTGACCGATACAAAAATTCGTAGGGATAAAAAACCAATTAGAGCTTAATTTATAAAAAGGGTCTTCTAAGTAAAACTTGCAATTAATACTAATAAGTTAAATGATAAAAAAAAGAATTTTCAGATCATCATAGAGAAATTACTCATCAAAAAGAGCATATATTTGTCTGAAATATGGGAATTGTTATATGCTTAGATTGCTTCAAATAAGCTTATCAACTTTTTTGATAACATCTATCACAATAAGCTAGAGTTCACTTGATCCAATAATGATTAGATTAAAAGACTCTAATACATTATATAAAAGCTGGTATATGTAAAAGGAACACTACTATTTTTCATAAATGTCAACATTTACATTCAGTACAACAGAAAAGAACAAACCTTTATTAATTTGTAAAGGTTTTGCTTATACTATCGATAAAACAACTAATGATAAAACTTATTGGAAATGTGAACATGTTCGAAAATTTAAATGTAAAGGACGAATTCACACTAACTGTACTCATACAACATTATTACATGAAGACGATAATCATAATCATCCTGGTAGTCCCGTTTCAACTGAAATTTGAATATTTGAAGAAAAAATTCGTCATCGAGCACTTAATTCAAACGAAGCTACACAAAATGTTATTGATTATTGTCTCATGAATTTATCTGATCATGCTGTAGCTCGTCTTCCTGATTTTAAACATGTTAAACGAAATATTCAAAATCATCGAGTAAAAAAAGATTTCCCAAAAATCCCACATGATAAAACATTTAATCTAATTCCGGACAAATTAACAACAACAAAACGAAACAGTTTGTTTCTACAATTTGATTCTGGCCCAGGCAATGATCGTATTATTATATTTGCATCAGCTGAACAACTTCAACTTCTTGAAAGTGACGAACAATTATTAGTCGATGGAACCTTCAAGGTCTGTGCATTTTCCCCGATGCTATTTAGTTTTATTTAATAAATTAAACTCTTTAGGTAACACCATCGATTTTTTATCAATTATACGTTATGCGCATGGTTTATCGAAATGCTGTTTTACCTGTCGTATTCGCATTATTACCAAACAAAACTCAAGAAACTTATCGTCGTCTAATTGATAAATTATCAGAAATTTGTCCATTATGGAGTCCAAAATTTATAATGATGGACTCCGAACTTGCATCAATAAATGCATTCGGTGATAAATTTGTAACAACAACAAATTCATCAATAATATCCGGTTGTTTTTTTCATCTACAAAATAGTATTCAACGTAAATTACAAGTCAGTAATTGAAATGTGTTAATATATAAAAGATTGAAACTAATTTTCGTTTTCTTCAGGACTTAGGCTTCAAAACGAATTATGAACAAGATCCAGTATTTTCTCATCATGTTAATCAAATTGCTGCTCTTGCATTTCTTCAACCGAATGATGTTAGCCAAGGTTTTGATGACCTGTACAATTCATTACCACAAATGTTACATCTATTATTAGACTATTTTGAAGGCACATATGTTGGTAGAAATCGCACACAAGGAAGAGCAAAACCAATGTTTGAAATCGAATTACGGAACATGCATCAAAGGACAACTGATCGTTTAATGTGGACTAACAACTCAGCTGAGGCTTGGCATCGCCGCTTAAGTTCTATTATGCAATGTCAACATCCTACACTTTGGTCCTTCATTAATAATTTAAAAAACGAAGATCATTATATTCACTGTCAATTGATCAAGCTGAATTGTGGTGAAAAAGTCGAACCAAATAAAAAATGTTTAAATTATAGTGCACGGCTACGTCATTTAATTATGCATCCCCTACCATGTATTCTACAACAATTAAAAGGACTTGCTCATAATTTATGAATTCTTTTTTTCGTCTTACTCTTTTGTTTGTCAATTGTTCGTTTTAAGTGTGAGTAATTCTATAATTGTATCACAATAAAGGTAGAATTTATTCATAATTCTACTGAAGAGTATCAGTTTCTATTTTTGATAAAAACAAACTAACTATATTATTATACGTTTCTACACCAATTATCGTATCGGTCAATTTTCTTATGGACCAATTTTCGTATCGACCAATTTTTGCTCTCCCAATGAATTGTAGCCATCGAACATCGGTATAGAGGAATACCTATTTTAGATCATACCATTACTAGTATCTGAAAAATGTGACTACCTAAAATTACCCAGGCAGCTTCAATTTTTCCTATTTGCCTATGTGATAAAACAGCATTTCCTGCTTTTAATAAAACTTTTCTTGCTTCTTCAAGAGTAGTGCATGCACATCCGGCTAATTTTTGGACAAGATCCTTTTCCATATGAGCCTCTTTACTGATATAAGAAAAAAGATATTCAGCAGCTGCCCAAGAATCAGTTGCAATTTGAATATCATGATTGCATTTAAATGTTTTAAGTAAATTCAAATTATATGGAATAATTCGGCGTGACTATGAATACAAGACTTGACAAATCTTTCAATATATCTGCAAACGCAAAACAATTACTTCTTGTGTTGTTCTTTTCATGATGATGTGTCGGTCACCACGTGTCAAAATTTTTGCTTCATTATGCATACGAAAATGTGTTTCAGCTGCTAATGGCTCTGGTTTTCCAAACCGACATCTAGAGCGTTCAAAAAACTCTCGTTTTTCAACTTTTGTTTGTATCACATCTGGATTATGATCTGCATCAACTTTTTCATATATTTCATCTTCATTAATTCGATTCATATTATTCGTGGAATGTGGCGTTTGTTGAACTTCAAGTTTCTCTTCAGATGTTAAACTACTTTTTCCTCTTCGAATTCTGAAAGCAGCTTTATCTAATACAATAAGAATCTTATTTTAAAACAACGGAACCTCCATTGCACTAACTTTTACTACAAGTAAACGTATGTTTATGCCATCGATATTTACGAACTAGTTTGTAAAGATGTAGCTCCTTATCTCTATCAGGTAATTCAGCAATAAGAAACTTGTCAACGAATTCAAGTATTATTTGTCGCCCTTCGCTTGATTCTATAGAAGGAGGATTTTCCACCCATAATAAAACATGTAAATGTGGCAATCCATCTCGTTTAAATTCAACTTTTAAAAAGTAATAACAAACAACATAATCAATAAGAAATTGATATGTCTTGTTATTGATATACTCTCCAAAACCAGCTATTCGACGTTTACACATACGTGCTACAAGTGCTGCATTTTCATTGACTATCATAAGATATTCATCATCTGATAAAGAATCAATCGCTTCCCAATTAGGATTGCACGGTGAACCAAATTTATCAGAATCAATATTAGTTAAAAATTCGACATCATCTTGTAAATTATCTGAAAGAAAAATAAAAGGTTTTCCCAATGTTGCATACATAGATCTAGGATGACGCCTTGCCTTCGCCCAAAATGCTGCAGAACCACGAATCACCATTCCTTTATCTAGCATATTTAAATAGACAGCATTTATTTCATTGTGGAGCAAATAAATAATTTTAATTATTAATAAACGATATTTACCAGCATAAATTAAATAACACATCTTTCCATCTACATCTTTCCGTTTCGCATGATAATTAACTGATTTACACAAATCTTGTCTTTGTAATATATTACGTGCTCTGAATATCCAAGTTGGATCTTTCTGCCATCGATTATCACAAGATTTCAAGCGTTGTTTATAGCACTCTCGTAAATCTATCGATATAGGTCTTTCCGGATCAGCTTCACCATGTTTACCATTTGGATACAACCATGGATAACATTTTTCTTCTAAATAAGGCTCAATCTCCCATGTTGCATTTTCGGCACATGTCATTACTCGTCTAAACTATAAGTTTCAGAACAAAAAGTTTCTTTCTAATTAATACTTAGGTCCACATAAAATTTCTGAAGAATTGATAACTGGCGTTATTACAGTTGAATTATTATAAGCATAACTATCAATAATTCGGATCGGAATTATAGTTTCTCTACGGCATTGAAACATATCTTCGATTTGTTCAATTGTCATCAATGTTTTATTGAAATATAAATGATTATGTTGTTTCAAATAGATTAATGCTTTCAATACTTGAATCGGACGAAATGAATAGGTAACGGTAGTACCAAATTCATTGTTCTTGTGTGATTTTTCCTGTACTACCGCTAAGAATTCATAGCATTTTGGAAATGGTAACAAATCATTAACAATACTATTTGTATCAGCAGAGAAATATACTATTTGACCTTTCAAGGCAGCCTGACGACCGCGTATTAAAATAATAATCGTATAGATGTGTACCAACGTGATTGCTAGTTGTTCAATAAAACCTAATATAAGATCTTCTGGTATACAGACAACTTCTATCTTATTCTTATGATGTGCATAAGGACAATGCATACAGTTATTTGATGGTTTAAATTCAGAACATTTTCTGGATACAAGGTTGTGCAGCAAATGCATTTACACCATTTTTGAAGTATCGTTGCACAATATCTAGTAAATCGTTTTGTACATTATTAAACGAAAATACAGAAGTTTAAAACCTTTGCTGTAAAAAATCATATATTTCAGATCGTTCTAAGCATTCTTCTGTAGGTGATTGATAATTTATCGATTCCAATTCTCTTGTAATTATATTATTTTCCTTTTCTTGTTTTTTCAATGTATGCATATGTCGTGTTTTAGCCGATGGTTTAGAATATTGATTGCCTTTGTTTCGTTTTGATGGCTTTGAATTTCTATTCTTCTTCTTTTTCTGCGAAGGCTTTGGATTTCGATTGTTATATTTTCTGAAAGATTAGTTTTTTTCTGATTTTGATTCCACTTTTTTGTTTTTTTTTCTTCGCCATCTTTAAGATTTCTACAAACTTATTCAATATGCATCTAATTCAAATAATATTATATAATAAAACATTATAAATAAGATAAAACAATCTAGTGAATACAGCGCCCATATCTTTGTTTCTTGAAATACGTTGTCTCTCTACTATATTAATATACACTGAATCACATTCGGTTCAAGTTCAACCAAGTTTGTTTCAAAACCAGTCATTTTTTTTACATCTTAATACTCATAACTATGCCAAACAAAAGAACTTTTATACATTTTTATGCTATCAATGAATTACTCAAACATCACTAAAAAGTATGTTCGCATTCATAAAGATATTTACTCGAATTGTACATAATCAATCATTACAACTACTCTAGTTAATGAATGATTGAATTGCAATACACGTAATTAGGGGTGGGCCATTAACATTAATTTTATATTAATGTTAATGTTTCTCATTAACCATTAATATTAATGCTTAATGTTTTCTAAGAAAAATTTAATTCATTCATATTAATGATTAATGAAAAACATTAACATTAATTTTAAAATTAATGTTTTCATTAATCATTAATATTAATGTCAATGTTCTTGAATGATATTAAAGGTTAACGGAAACATTCACCATTAGTATGAATAGCAATGTCTTCGTTAATATTATGGATTATACTTTCATTAATCATTAATATTAATGTTAATGTTTTCATTAAAACATTAATTTTTCCATATTACTGAATTAGGCTTTTGTAAGGAAACATTATCTACAATTATTAATCAATTAACTGATCCTAATAGATAATGTTTTCTCCGAAAGTGTTAATTACTTAATATGGAAAGTTATAATGCTTTCCTGAAAACATTAACCATTAATATTAAGTCATTGATTTTAATGAAAACATTAACATTAATATTAATGATTAATGAAAGTATAATCCATAATATTAACGAAAACATTGCTATTCATACTAATGGTGAATGTTTCCGTTAACCGTTAATATCATTTAAGAACATTGACATTAATATTAATGATTAATGAAAACATTAATTTTAAAATTAATGTTAATGTTTTTCATTAATCATTAATATTAATGAATTAAGTTTGTCTTAGAAAACATTAACCATTAATATTAATGGCTAATGGAAGTCATTAATTAAGTTCCGTTAAAAAAAATGGTCCACCCCTACACGTAATTTCAATAAGAATCCCATATTATCCCGTTCAGATAAAAGATAAAGAATACTGTTTGAATAATAATAACCTTGAATTGAAAAATTTTCTAACGTGATATCAATTAACAACTTTTTAATTAGCCTAGTTATATCTTTATTGTATAACACTCTATCAAAAAAAATTACCATTAATATTACAAAACTTCGCTCAAAAGTCAAATGCTAGTTTTTGAAGTAAATCTTACAAGCATTCTTTACTTCGATTATACTTGTTAGTCACCGAGTGTTGCTCTGACGAAAACCCATTAAATAGTACAAATGCTCTAATACCAATACACTATTAACAACATTAATTTCACTTTTTGTGCATATAAGAGAAAGTCCATATAACCAGGTAACTTCATTACCAATTTCATCTCGTCAATTAGCATATAAACATAAATTACTTTTAAATGAAAATTCAAATAAGTCAATCCATTCTTTGCTAATGTCTAGCTTATAATTGCTATGATCCATAATTCCTATCACATTCATAATACGCATATAGAGTTCATGATAAATATTGCAAGCAACACAACAAAATGTTCCTCCACATTGTACATTTAGAGAATCGATTAGCTTTTGACACCACGTACATGTTCTACTTAGTACCATTTGAATGGTTAGAACAAGAAACTCAAGTAGTAAATCAAATATTATACGATAGAAAAATATACAATGAATAGTACCCGCTCGATCAATTTTATTCAATAAACGTTTTGAAGCCGACAAATAATCTTTTAATGAGCACCTCTATTTTACATAACATTTTAACTATTGAATCAACATCAACAATGCAGACTTGCCTCATCATCATTGTTAGGAGGTGTGATAAAAAATTAGATACAATTGCATTTCTAATATTGAGAAAGACCAAAAAAATGAAACTTCCTAGTCACATTCAATATATCGATAGACTTACATAACGAGTATTCCTATTGTCACTTGCACTATACTATCTTTAGTTACACGCACTTGATAATAATGCAATATATTCTGTTCAACCAAAACTACTTCTAAAGTGTTAAGTAATATGCAAATCTGCACATATTCTTCTTCTATAATTACTAAAATACATAGGATTGTTTGCACTTTTTTTTTACATTCAACTAATCAACGTATTTTTATATAGATCTTGTCCTTCATATATTATAGCAACTATCATTATTATCAAATCAAAGATGACATATGATGATCATTTTCTATAAAAGAAAATTGAACGTTTATTGAATTTTGAGGGTGTGGGTGTGGGTGTGGGTGTGAACAGCAGCCAAGACCAGTTTCATCCTTGCTTAAGGGAATCATCAGTTGGCAAATAATTTCTATGATTAAAAAATCAAAAAATTAAATTATTCTGTTATATAGAAAATTTTCAAAACAAAAATTGACTATATAATGATAATAACCAGATACAGTGGTGTGAACATCGACGATTGTGAAAAAGATTTGGTGTGCCGTGGTTGAATGTCTGTGATGGTTTTTTTTTCAAATCGTATTTAGATATATATCTAAAAGAAAGAAATTTAGAACTTTATTGGAAAATTGTATTGGAATCGAATTTTGAATGAGTGTTTTTTATTNGGATTGATCATTCTGTGTAGAGAGTCTTGGTTGTTTATTGGTTTTGGATGGATACTAGCTGGATGATAGTTTAGGTTTGATGTAGTGCCGTGTTCTTTTTTTCGAATTTCTCTAAATAATAGTAGTAACGGAAATGTTTTAATTTTTTTTATAGAAAGGAGTGATATCGATGATTTTTTTGTTATAGTCGTTTGACTTACTTTTGGTGGTTGTTGTGTTTTGTAACAATTTTTTGTTTGGCCGTTTTCGTATTAGTTCATTATGTGCAGGACGACGGATACGGTTGCCAACGATTTGTTTTGTATACATTGCTGGTGTATCTTTAAAGGCATGATTGTATACTTGATGCATATCTCGTTTGCATGTTTCGAAACGTTTTTCATACGTGAAATGAGTAAAGAATTTTTCATTATAGTTCGGGATTTTTTCTTCAGATTTTTCAGGGTGTTGGTTTGGTTGTTGTCTCTCATCATCATCTGGTGGATCGTTGTCAATGTCAGCAAGGGCTGCACTCATGGCTACTTGTGATTGTCGAGGTGTTGGTAGACCTAATGTTTCTTTTCGCATAAGAAAATATTTCTGTTCCTCATCAATTAATGGTAGGAAGCGTGATTTTGATATATATTCCGAGAAATATTTGTGAAACTCATTTTCAATAAATGTTGATGGATATCTAAATAATGTACGACTGAACTAGAATAAATTTTTTAATAAAATGTGAAATAAAAACTTACTCATTGTATAGTAACATCAATTTAATGTAACGTCGCTCATAATTAAAAGCTTCGAATGTCGATGAATATCTTATTGCACGTTCAATTGAAGTTTTGATTATATTAGAAAAAACATGTCGAGGATGATCAGATGTAAATGGTGTAACATATGGTTCAGCTGCAGGCTTATGATAGACACCAGAGATGGGATCGGTCGGCCTTTTCCCCCAATCGAACCGACCGCAACCGGTAAAATCTCTGACCGAACCGACCGTAACCGACCGAATTTTAAAATATCTCCAACCGAACCGACCGTAACCGGAAAAATCTCTGGCCGAACCGATCGTAACCGACCGAATTTCAAAAAATTTCCAACCCAACCGCGCTGCAGTGAATTTAGGGGGGAACGAAGTTTAACTTTTGCCAATTAAGCTATTAGCGTTTCATAAAAAATGATTCTTTTATATACACATCTTTATAATTTATTTTCATTAAGTCAAAAATATAATCTTTATACAATCCTTTGAAAATATAAAAACAACACTACATTAATGTAATTCAGATATCTGTACTATCAGGTCCTTGTTGATACACCTTGAATGAATGATTAAAAACCATATCGTTGACGACATCAGGAGATAATCTTGAACGCTTTTGTGTAATAAAATTACCGGCAAGACTAAATTCTCGTTCAACAGCCGCGCTTGAAGCCGGTACGGAAAAAATACGAGCAGCTATTTTAGAAAGAGCAGGATAAGAACTATGCATTTTTTTCCAGAAAGACAAAGGATTATATTCTTCTTCGTGAGATTCATCCGAACTTTTCGATTTATCTGATCCTTGTTTAGTATATAACTCGATTTCTAATGCATGTGAAGAAGATCGTAAAGCAGCTTGTTGGTCGATATCACCCTCATCATTATCTTCTGCATTCGAATAAAAATCACTCATAGATTTAATCGGATGATTAATGGGCAATTGAGGATCTTTTGGAGTTGTTGGTAATTTAAAACCATTAACACCATCAAATAACAGCATTTCTTGTTTGATATATTCTATGGATTGTTCTCGTTGTTCGACAGATAAATGTTTCATCTTTCGAGTTTTCGGATTTAAAAATGTTGCCATCAGATGAATAGGATGATATTGAATTTTTTCTTTTATAATTGTTTTTGCTCTTTGTCGAAAATATGTAAATCCTGAATCAAGTAAAATTAAACACAACAATATGACAGAACAGTTAGAATTACTAGCCTTTATCTTGTTTTGAATCATCAGATTTAGTTTCTAATGAAGAGTTGATAATACAAATGCTAGGAGTAACTATATGTATTGATGGTATTTTTGACGATTGAACTCGTTTCATAACATATTCCCATGGTTTAAGAAAATCAATCAATTTATTCAATAAGCACACATTAATTTTATCAAGTTTTCCTTTATTCAAATTTTTCTCTTCAAAAATTTCACCAAGTGTAATTAAAGATTTGTTCACGCTCTCCAAACAATTCAGTAAAGAGAGCCATCGAACAATTGTACATTGTAAAAGAACAAGTGCATTTCGATCTTCAAGATCTTGATTCAAATTGATCTATGAAGAAATTTAAAAAAACTATAATGTTTATAAAGCCGCTTCGTTCTCCTAAATCATCCAGTTTAGCAGCAAAGAAAACTTGCTATTAAAATTACCTTCTTGACATACTTGACTAATTCTTTACATTGAACGATTGTAACTAAAATACGTTTAACATCAGTTGGTAATTGTGCAATGAACGAAACAGCATTAGATTTTTTATTTGATGTTATAAAATTATATTTGGCGCATGCCTTTTGTTGATCATTAACTCCATCATCATCAAAACCATCATCATTTTGTTCATTTTCATTTTTACTGTCTTGATCATCTTCATCTTCCGATTCATCGTGAAAGTGATCAGGAAATAATATATGTTTCTTGACCTTCGATGCATTTGTTTGAAAAAAAATAGTTTGTAAACAATTGTTAAGACGGTGAGCGACACAACGAACAACAGTAAATTTCTCTAAAGCTTTTAGAAGATTACTACCACCGTCACACACCCATATAATATCTGACATAAATGGAACTAGATCAAACAAGGACAAACCTTCTTCTAAAACCTATAACGATATTTGAGAGTCAGTGTGAATACAAAACAACTACAGGAAGGCTTACTTTTAAAATACTCGCCCCTGTTTTATTAGATTGCCTATAAGGCAAACAAAATAATTCCAAAGAATTTAATTTCCAAAGACTATCAACCCAGTGTGCAGTGCAGCCCAAATACGATGTTTTTTTATATCCATCTGACCACAGATCCGGCGAAAGAGTAAGAGAACGTTCTCGAGCAGCTTTTATTAAAATATCTTTTATTTTATTTCGACGATTGTTTGCAGTTTCTTTGATTTCTTTCGATATTGTCTTTCGACAAGGTAAAATTGATGAAGCAGATACTGGACCACAAACGAAACCTAAGAAGTGAAACGAAGAATACAAAACACTGTGTAGCATTAAAAAATTGTGTACTTGTTTTGATACATTGTTCAACAAGCTCTTTTAAGCCGATATCTTCAACAATATTTATAGGACGAGTATTCGAACATACCCAATCACTAATGACAGAAGTCATTAATCGCTTATGCTTTTGAAGAGTTTTATGATTAACTGAATTAGTGCTGTCACTTGTTGTTGTGTCGCTATATGTTGTAGAAGTGTTGGATTTGACTAATGGTATTAGTTCTATTTTTGATTGATTTTCACTTGATGAAACTAAACATTTACATTTATGATTGGACATTGCAGTTGTGCTTGAAGAATATGAATAAGTTTGAAAGCAGGACGTACATGAAGCAAAGTTTTTAATTATTTCAAATTTACCAGGACCAATTATCTTTGCTGGTAGACCAAATTTTGACCAACACAATGCCTTAGATGTTTTTTTAACAGTTGTATATTCTTTTGGTTTGTATTTTAAAGCAAGCATTATTGATTCTCTTGTATAATGTTCACTTGATGAATCAATTGACATAGAGATTGATGAATTGCTGGGTTGTGTACACGAAGAAGGATGATCGTTTGAATCCAATAACAAACATTCAGAATCATACATAATGTTCGAATGAATATGTCTGAAATATTTAATTCTTTTTTAATGTGCAATTAGAGAAAACACTTACTCAACAAAATTGAATATTTAAAACAACACCTGAGTACCACGCACAAAAAAATAAATATTAGCACCAAAACTGAATGTTAACAATAATAACAACACTTGAATATCAACAGCAACCAAACAAACTGAATACTAACAACAATGAATAATTAATATCTAGAGAAAACAAAGAATGAAGAAGATTATTCATTCGATCCCTACAGAGCATTATGATTTGCTTATTTGTTGTAACCAATCCGAACATTGCATAATAATATCTGAATTAAGAGTGACAACTAACTGTTGTGTAATCACGCTCTTCTTTTTCTTGTTATATCTCACTGAGAAAATCTGCTGGGCGAAATTAATAAAAATTGCATGGATTCTTTTCAACCGACCGTAACCGACCGAATATTTAAAAATTACCAACCGAACCGACAGTAACCGAAAAAACTCTAACCTAACCGATCGTAACCGACCGACTTTTAATAAAGTCTCCAACCGAACCGATTTCGGTTTCGGTCGGTCGGCTTCGGTCGGTTGGAAACCGAACCGATCCCATCTCTGGTGGCTACGTCAACGCCTATTCATTTAATAGAGTTGAATTCATCATTAAAAGGCGACATCGTTGAAGATGAAAATCACCTTATTGCAAATAATGTAATCGAAGTTATGGATTCAAATATGAGCAACCAGGCTGATATACTCAT